TGCTATTTATCCTCTACATCTCGGATATGTTATGCAAGGACCAGCTCCCACTGGAATGCAGCTCTAACTCAAGCCTCTTCAAATATGCTGATGATGGAAGCATAGCAGTCTCTCACATAGATCCTATATGTGCTCATCGAATTATGCAGTTGATGTGCAAGTACCTTCATGTCTGGTGCAGTAAGTGGAAACTTATCCCAAACTGCGACAAAAACAAGACCGAGTGTATTATGATCACACCAACATCCTCATCTGCACCTGATGTCACAGCCTTTGGACCACTCATTATCGGCAGTAGACCCATAACATATACATGTCAATCAACTGTTCTTGGACTGAGGATAGACGACAAACTTACGTTCAAGAGTCACGCAAAATTTAAATTGAAACAATGCTGGTTTGCCTGGTACAGGATCACTCAAAACTCCACCCGCCACAGAGGCCTGAATGCAAGCTCACTCAAAATGCTCTTCAAAACAGTAGTACTCACAAAACTTCTATATGCTGCTCCAATATGGCTAAAAGATAACCTAGACACTTTCAAAGACTTCTATGCCAGGGTCCTCTTGAAAATAAGTGGATCCACTCACCATCCTCCCAAAGATTTGACATCTGTCGCGCTTGGAATTCCACCCCTTGAGATATCCTACAAGATGATCACTATAAAATTCATAATAAAAGCACTTACAAGTGACCCATTTATGCAAGGACTCATCTTACAGCTAGAGGAGGCAAAGGCCCATCGATATCAGCACCATATTGATGAGATACGTAAGTTCCTAACGTGGACAAGGGGGTCCAACGAGCTCAACAGAAGCAGAATAGACCTTCTGACTAGTGTCCACAACGGTGTTGTCAGCTATTCAAAAGACGAAATAACCCGCTTTATGGACTTCACTTGGAATAAACATCTCCTACTGAACCCTAGAATAAATCCGGGTGAGATACTAGATAACATCGATGAGAGGAGCAAAAAGTTGTTTCCTCGCTACTCAAGCAGGAGCACAGACACTAAAGTAATGTCTCTCTTGCATGGCCATGACATCACCTTCACAGCATTCAAGGCAAGGGTTGCCAACAACTGCGACCCTCAGTGTCCGAATTGTCAGATGTTGGACAACAATTACCATCGAATCTTCTCTTGTCCACTGTACCGCTGTTCCTACAGATGCTGGTCTATCTTAAGAGATGGTAATGATGGCAGCATCACTGCCTTCCGATCTTTAGCACAGATCGCCATCGATGAACTATCATAGAATTGATACTTATACTTATTAGTGCTCCTTCACCTCCATCCCCCTTCATGTCCTACATCTCCTTATGACATCACTCCCCCTTCAGCCTCTACTACTCCTTTACTACTCCATCTACTGCCTCATCTTCTGGACATCATTATCTTCTAGAGTTCTAGTTTAGTTGAGAATTCTCAACACCCACTTCCAAGTCGAGTACTCTCGACCCACTTAGTCCACATACCTTGCAAACTTACAGCAGGGTATTTGTAATGGTCTAAGTCCCTAATACACGCCAAAGATGGTTCCTCTATACTCAACCGTAGGAGAAGAGAATTAGGTGACTGTATTTTGTTCTAATGTTGATATTAATATAAGTATGTTCTAGTTGTTACTCCTTTTGTTTTAACGTTTTTATGGTACTCTCCTTAAATTATTTCAATGCAGTCACTCAGATGATTTTTAAATCAGGACACTTAAATAAAGACACATACTCTGCCCACAATAAGGGGCCATAATTTTTAAATTATGTAACAGTATAGAATTATTATTATTATTATTAGCCTCAATCCTACATCACATAAGTTATGATAAAGTCTCAATAACCTGCGGGCTACAATAACAAGTTTTTTAGTGGGTCTAAAACCTGTTTCCATACATTTAAGTAAAAATTCGGTCGAAACTCAAATTCTTTATTAGCCTCATTTTGGCCTCCTACAAGTAGACACAGCGATTTCTGAAATGTTGAGCTTGAAGAGGATGAATCAATTTTTATTGTTGATACATCAGAATTTAGATAGTCACATTTAAACGGCCCCAACGTTAATGTAGCTCTTGCTATGTGTTGGTTCAGCCGAATTAATTATTATGTAATCAAGTTTATTTTTCTCTTTTAGTTAGTTGTCATCCGGCCAAACATTAAGCAACTTATATTGCACTACCATTTATCAATTAGTATATCAAAATATGTCACTGTAATTTTGCATGGCTGAAATGTAATGCTTGATTTATATATATAATAATTAATTGAATTTTCAAATAATAAAAAAAATAGTGAAACAAATTTTTAGTGAAACAAATTTAAAATTTAATCCTTTATTTTACAATCATAATATAATAATATTTATAAGATAATACCGAACCTGCTCGAAATATACACAAAAGTATATACTTGTTAGCCTCATTTCATCCTCTTAAAATGTGGTTGGCCTCATTCTCACCTCGAATATTTAAAGCTTAGATCTCGATCAAGTATAATCACTATGAGGATGGATTATACTTGTAACTTGGATATTATCATGGATGTAACATGAGAAAGTTCTTTTTGAAAAGTGATGAGGCTAATTCATTAGCCTCAATCACTCCTACTGAATCTAGTGAGTGAGCTAGGAAGTCGCCGAACATCTCATTTTAAAGCTGTACCGATTTTCTATACGCATATCAAAAATCAAATGCGAAACTAAAACAGAAATGAAGTTACAAAAGTTTTAAATTTTTTGTCAAAAAAAGAACTTTTAGGGGTGTTTCTAATGACCAGGGTCCCTATGGTTTATCCTCAAAAGTCGACTTTATGTGTGACATACTTTTATCTTCAACATAATTGATAATTCATTGTGATCAGTTGATACTGAATTGGTTTTAATTGATCCTTTACAGTTACACTATTAGAAATGTAAGATTTGACTGAATTAGATAAACTAAAATATTGAAATGGGTTTTGGCTATCTCGAAATATTCAAGGAGGCCATATTTAAAAAATTTTAGATCTTGCACCAAATATGACTAAAATAGTTTGTCGATAAAGTTTCTCAAGTTCGTTCACGAAGGGATTATTCTTCCCTCCAAGTTTGCAACTCTTGTTATTCCCTGTAATCCATATTCATTCCAAAGAGCTTCATTGTGATATTTCACTTTTTTTAGTCTAGATCAGATTTTGGTTAACATTTACGTCTTCGATCCACATAACTTTCTTTCTTTGAAGTTTCGTCATATGCTCAGCCATCTAATCAAGGGATTTATCAATCAATTGCAATTGTTCTGTGTCCATTTCAAGTTCTGTCTTTTCATCCTCTGATTGTTTAGCAGAAAATGCATTCTTGAGACCACCACCTACTGTTGCTACCCCAACCAAACTACTGCCAATAAGAGATAGGACAGAAAAGTTGTGTCCCAATACTGTCACATCAAATAAATAGGCAATAGCTATGTCTATGTTCCGAATTAATGCCACCATGGAAGGGTTCTCATATTTCAGTCCAAGATTTAATGAGTAGCTTCCTGAAAATAATGATGATGGTTAGATTATTATTGATGTGCAGAGAGTATTGATAAAAACTGAGATTTAAATGCTCTTTGACAATAGTATGAAGTCCCGTTGGCTAAATTTTAACATTCGCTAGGAATGACTGTATTTGAACGAAATTTGGCTACTCATAATTTACATGCTAAATCTAAAAACGAGGATCTTGCTTTTCAAGGCACACCACTCATTCCCCGATTCCTCACTTTCTGTCACTGTACTACAAGTTTTATTAAATAATAGATTTATCTTGTTTTAACCATCGTTTACTGACCTGTCACAGCAAACAAGCTAACTAGTAATAGCCACAACCATTGTTCATTTGGAATGTCTTGTAGAGATATGCTAGGCATTGTAGCAGCAGTCACGATTGAGCATAAAAGTCCGTTCCAAACCCCAAGATAAAATACAGGAATTACGAAATGGACGTTTAACTGCCTGAAATAATTATGTTTATGAATATGATCGATATTTTAAGATCTTTTTTTCATGAAATACATGCAAATTACACTTACATGTAAACCATAATTTAATAAACCTTTGATGAATTATTAATAATCATGAGCAAAATCTGTTCAGCTTCTATCACATGTCTATTATGCAATAGATAATTTTAAAATCTTGAGTAAACTAGCGTTATTTCAGCACCTATTTCAAGCTTCAAAAAAGCTTTTAAGTATGAGAATCTAAATTAAACTTATTACCTTATCATGATAAAAGTCCCAGCCTGTGCAATTGTTGCCAAGATGACTGCTCCAAAGCCAATCGCGTAAATGTAACCCCCCATTGCATCTATGTTAGAATATGAGAGAAGGAAGGCTCCTATAGTACACACTGCTCCAGAAATAGTGATGATTGCTGGGATGGAAGTTTTGAAGACTAATCTTTCTATAATTGCAACAAATATTGGGCAGGTTGATAGTATAACAATAATTTCTCCCAGTGATATTGCCTTGAGCTGGAATGCTAGGTAGATTGCGTAGGTGATCATGAAACAGATGAATGCAAACACACAGAGAGTTATTGTCTTCCCCTCTGGATTTAGTTTTTCTTTGTACACAACCATGTTTAGAACAAGGGAGGAAATGATCTGTGCCAAGGACCTCACAAGAATTATCAGTGAAATAGGAATGTCACTGCACAACTTTATGAATAGGGAGGCTGATGCAAAACACAGTCCCGTCAGAGCTGCAAAAGCAAAGCCAATCAAGGTATTCTGTTGTAATTTCTTCATTGTTGAGCTTGCTTTCTGCTTGTACGTTAGCTACTAGAGATGGTTTTCCTGTTAAAAATTCTCATGGACATTGCAAAATTGCAAAATTCATCAACAGCTAATCACTGGAATCAAAATACAGTACTAGTTCTCAGTTATTCAAAAGATTGGATAAGAATGTGTGGTTTTGACAGACAGAAAAGTTTGCTATTTAAATATTTTTTGAATCTGATGGAATGATAACCATTATTACTTTTAGCATCATGGGAAATGAACAAGCAAAGTTGTCGCCAGAAGAGCTCAGAGAGTTGGAAGACTCAACTTATTTTGATAAGAGGGAGCTTCAAAAATGGTTCAGGGAGTTTATGAAAGATTGCCCTTCAGGATCTCTCAGTAAAGATGATTTTATAAGGTAGCTTATTAACTAATTGGCGTTATATTGAATATTGATGTTCCAAAGTGTGTCCAACTGTTAAAATAATCAATGAATCGATATTAACAAGAAGCAATACATGTGTCATATGCATTAATTATTTTCAGGATATATCAACAATTTTTCCCGCAAGGGAATCCGTCCCAATTTGCAACTCATGTTTTCAAAGTGTTTGACTCTAACTCAGATGGATGCATATCCTTCAAGGAGTTTATAGTTGCTCTCAGTGTAACCAGTAAAGGATCCCTTGATGAGAAACTTGACTGGGCTTTCTCACTTTATGATTTGGATGGCGATGGGTAAGATCGGAAGTCTTTTATAAATTTATGAAGTAACGAAAAAGATCAGTTTTCAAATAAAAGGAATGCAATTATTGTGTGGTTTGGGTGACATGCTTTCCCAGCTATTTCATGAGGCTGATATTTATATACCTTTTTTTAAGTGTATGATAATGCATTGTTTGTGAGACAATTAGAGATACTACTGGTTTATAGATTATCACAATGCTAGCGTCTATTATACCCCCTTTACTACTTACCCCCTTTACTATTTACCCCCTTTACTATTTTTCAAGCATTCGCCATATTCAGGTGCCTTAAAAACCATGTTAAAATTGCAGGGCGTCTAGATGTTGACCAAATTGACTGCAAAAAAAGTTTCAAGTTACAGGAGTATCAGGAAGTGGGTTTTCTGGAACCCCTGTAATTCTATTAGAATTAGAACACACTTTATTAAAATCATTTTGGACGCTGATTCCATATGACGGGTAAAAATGCTTCCCTGGAGAGTTATGGGCAACAAAACTTTTTGGGCACGTACGTGACAGGCTAGTAAAACACGAATTTGATTATTTAGGACTCGGGTTAGGGTTAGGGTTGTGGTTAGGGTTATTATAGCTTTGGGTTTATGGTCAAGTTCGGAGACAACCTGTACATAAAATCAGTCACTAATTACACTCATTTCACTGCCATAAACGGTAAAATTAATTGTAATTCCTCTGAAAGTCCAAGGGGTACAGGCTCTTCAGATATTATACTCCTAACCTTTCTATAATGATATCTGGGTTCAAAATTTAAATAACTCAACCTCGGTGGAGACAGTGGCCACCTGAAAATTACAAAAATAAAGGAGCTGTAAATCACTTATGAAAAAAATATTTACTCCAAATTTCACAATTTAAAGTTACGTAAGACAGGTGGGTACTCAAAAAGTGCCGGTTGAGCAGGTTTGTCTGCTCAACACAGGTGGAGCAGCTCACTGACTACATGAGCTAATATAAGTGACTAGAACTAACCCTCTCATGCTTTTTAATTGCTCCAAAGTCCTAATATTTAATATTATGGGTTATACCAATCATATTTCATAGAATAGGATCCTCAGAATCGGCTCAACCGAGGTGGAGACAGCATAATATGCAGTTCAAAATCTGTTATTTTGTAGTTTAGGAGCTGTAGAGTGACTGTGGCAGTCCATTTGCAATACCAATGATTCTAAATCATCTACCAACTCATATTACAAGGCATCCTTGCTGAAAAGTACACTCAACATAGGTGGAGACTCAAATTTGGCAAATTTGGGCGTAAATTTGACCTCAGAAGTCAAGGATCTCCACCGCGGTTGAGTGGTTGATGGCTAGTTTGATGAGTTGTATACATGCTAAAGGGTCATCCAATGTTATTTCTTCCAGAAATCAACTGCCAAAGCTCAACTCAACCCGGTGGGGCCAGTTTTAATGCATTTTTTAATGTTTTAATGTTTAATCAACAATTTCTCCACCTTGTTGAGTACCTTTTCACAACTTTGATAGTTCTTTCATTTGCTAGAACACTTTGCTTTAAGACAGAAGGGGTAACAGTTTTATGATCCCCTACATTAGCAGTTAACAGAGCAGATTAGAATTAGTGATAAAACCAATGAATTTAGGCATGTTTGACAGGCTTTTTACTGTTTTTTAATGAAAGATCTCCACCCTGTTGAGCGTCAATGGAAAAAACAAAATTTAACGGGAAGTAGAAAAGGCCGAGACGCAACTTTCTAGCTAACCTAGAACTCTCTAAACCTTTCTCCACCCCCAATGAAACTAATAAATCAATGAAACTAATAAATCAATGTTTTAGCTCATTTTACAAAGTCAAATATTTAAAACAATTAAAATTGTATAGTGCTCAATTTGTAAATGACTAGTTGATCTTTGCTATTGGAAGTTTGTCAAGGACTGGCAGCTAGCGGGGCAAGGAATGCACGGGCTTAGGGGCTTTTGTGCACACCAGAACACTAGCTCGGTAGATTTTTGGAAACTAGAAGGACTGAAAACTAAAATTGTTTTTGATGGAGGCTGAGGCATGTTTTTGAGAGGGACGGTATAATAGCTTGTGGTAACAACTGGCCTTTACTTTAATAGGATGAAGTTTTAGTTTTAGGACAGGAAGAAGGCATTAAGAAGATTTGCTCTTTGTTTACAAGGCAGAATATAAGCAATGTTGGTTATAATATGTATCAATATCTAGATCTTCGTTTATCAATTTTCACTAAATGGGTTTAAAATTTTAATAGGGAGGGAAATTCATCAACTTTATTAAGTACCTATCAAAAATAAATCTTATATCAATGTAATATATTAAAAATCATAATCCTAAGTCTAATAATAAATCTGTTAAAAACACTTTCTCACTACACTGCACTCACACACGTTAGTAAGACAAAGGAAAATGCACACCCAGCTAATTTTCAATTTCAAGATAATCATTTTGGATGTGTGGACCCTAGGGTAGACTTAATGTCAAAATTAAGATTAGAGCATTCTAAATCTTTGTTTGTCCAATCAAGATCAGCATGGTTATGCTGGTTGACGAGCAGTGATTGCTTCATCCTAGACTTCAGGCAGGCCACACTTAGACAGTAGTCACGTATACCAAGCTTAGGCACAATTACGTTCCAAATACGAGTCGTTCTGTTATTGAAGTTGTCAGGGGGGTCTGCTTGGCTTAGTATAAGGGTTGAGCAGCTTTGAAAAGTGCATTTAATTTCTCCACCTCGGTTGAGCACTTGAATAAAATATTGATAAAACCATCAGATTGCAAATTTGATGTAGTTTGTGTTACCAATAACCTTTTCCACCTTAATCAAAAGTTTCTTCAACCAGAGCCAGTCTCCACCTTAAATCTCCACCTTTTAAGGGTTTGTATAATACCACCTGTATCTGCTCAACCGTTCAACCTTTTATTATTATTTTTTTACTCAGAGAAAGTCCTGAAAAATGTCTTGTCAGCCATATAATCAGGGAGTTTCATTCCGTGTTGAGCTGGCTCCACCACACACTTCTAAAAAAGTAAAAAATGTACAGGTTGTCTCCGAACTTGACCTTATGGTTAAGGTTAGGGTTGGGATTAGGGTTTATGTAAAACCGTTTTGTTCGGCTGCAAAACCATAAAAACCAATGTCATGTGATAATTTTTGGGCGAGTGAATAAGTAAGACTAAGATTTGTCTAGAAAGAGACTCTTTTGTAGAGGGAATCCTCAGGTGGAGTATATTGTGTTCAAGATGAAATATTACCTCTTGCTGCTGCAAGATGCAGGGACGCGAGACTCACAACCACTAATAAAAGAAATATAATAGAAAGAAACATGTGATTGATGATCATAACACTGTTGCTCCAATCAGCACGTCTTGGAAAGATGTCTGTTTATTACAATCGCAAACTTTGTACATTTACTATCACGTGGGCCGTGGCTACTGTAGAAGGCATCATGTAGCCGGTAGGCCCGACATGATACGACATATCTCGACACGTTGGGGTTTGTCGGGGTTTGTCAGGGTTTGTCGGGGTTTGTCGGGGTTTCCGGTTTGTCGAGCCTGAAGGCTTTTTTTTCTTTTTTTTTGAGTCTCCCAACAAAAAGCCGAGACGGAGTCATCAAGCTTTACGTGGAAAAACACTATACAAGAAGGCCTCATGTAGCCAGTGGGCCCGAGGCAAAACCCCCAGTGACATAAAGTGAGGAATCTAAGAATCTAATTCCTAGCCATATTAATTTCCATAGCCACGCCGACTAATTTTTGTCAACAAAATTATTAAATCAACTTTAAAATAGTCGCTCTCGGTTGTTACACACTGTAACGCCGCGCACTGTACTTTAATTCTATATTTATCTGAGAAGATGTTCGAATCGAGCGCAAATCAATGAAACGAAAAGTTTTATTTTACATTCCTTTAATCATAAATAAAATAAGAGCTTAAACCACGAATTAGTTAGCTAGAAGTAAACTTGAGGAAATATTTTTGGTGATTGTATATAATTATTTAAAAACTTTATTTGGTTGTTAGTATTTTAATTATGGTAAGTGGTTGAATTTAGTGAGACAAGGTCAGTTTCTCTATTATCTTAGAAAAATTTCTACTTTACAGTAGGCAATGCTGAGTGGCAGGAATGAGGGACCAAAACGCTTGGGGCTAACAATGGCCCATTTACAAACCACTTCAGACATGGCAATGATGTCATTCATGCTTAATTCGTCTGAAACTGACCCTACTGCACTTGTAACATTCTATAAAAATCTCTTCTAAAATAGGTATAAAAATGCATAACACAAAACACACAAACAAAATGTTTATAATCCTTATATAATAAATTTCTATAGAACTTTTAAATTTCTATAAAACTAATAAACCTATATATATATTCATTTTGCACCCAGAGAAAGATGTGATCACAGAGGTAGTTTCGATATTATGTTCATGACAAAGTATGGGGCTGCTGCAAGTTATATTTTGCTAAGATATTACCGCTTTTTCAAGCTTAAGTAATCTAGGCAAGGTCAATTTTAAAGTTTTTGAATTTTGTCGAACGCTGTTTAAGGCTAAGTTCCAGTCATTTGGTTCTCCTTCCTTTTGAGTGTGAGTGATGGTGATTCTTATGGATGATTTGAGGTGATTGGGCTTATAACAGGTGAATGTAGTTAGCATGAGATTTTGTCGTACTGTATTCCATATTGTCCCTGCTCTGTATATGTAGCTGTCTGATGGTTTAGGTGTGAGAATGAGGGTCTCTTTGCCAAGTCTGCCAGATGTTTCAAAGAGGGAGTATAGTGATATAGGGGTTCTATATTTCAAGACCTTGAAGATGTCATTAATACAATGGTAAAAGTACAGATTATGCACATTCATGATTTCATGAGTGTTGAAGAGGGGTTTTGTATGTTCCTTTCTGTAGAATTCCTTGCCCAAGATTTGCTCCCCGTAGGGTCTGCATCGTGCACTAGTTTTAAATTTATCCAAGTATGCTTGAACTTTATCTCCAAACATTATGCGGGCACACATTTTCTGTGCTTTGAACAGAGGTTCAAGTTTTTTGTTAGATGCCCCTCCCCAGACAGTTATACCATATGCAAGATAGCTTTCAAACAGAGTGTGATATAGATCTTTATGGAGTGATGTGGGAATGTTATCTTTAATTCTATTTAGCATGCCACAGCAGCTGGCTAGTTTTTTTGCTAATTTCCTTCTATGTGCGTTCCAGTTTAGGTCTTCATCGATTGTTACACCTAAGAATTTAGTTTCATGTACTCTCTCCAAGGGTATGCCATTGATATTGATTTCTTGATCAGAGGGTGTATCTTCATCTTTGTTGGATCGAGAGTTTGAGAATTCAAGGTAACAGCTCTTGCCAGTGTTTATGTGAAGTTTATTGGCAAGCATGTAGCGGTGTACGGAATTTAGGACTTCATTGGCTTTTTTGTATGCTAGGTTTTTACTTTTTGCAGCGATGAAGATATTTGTGTCATCAGCAAATAGAACAAATTTAGAGTTCTTTTCAGAGTTTGTAAGATCGTTTATGTAAATTAAGAACAGAAGGGGCCCTAAGCAGCTCCCTTGTGGCACTCCAAAAAGCACAGGTAGAGTATCAGATATTTCATTGAGCACACCAACATATTGTTTACGGTCGGAAAGATAACTTTCCAGGAGTTTGTGTGCCCGTCCTCTGATCCCGTATGTGTTTAATTTTTTGAGAAGTATTGAGTGATCTATTGTATCAAATGCTTTACTTAGGTCGATAAAGATTCCTAAAACATGATTACCGGCTTTGAGTGACTGCTGAATGTGGTGAATAGAGTAGTTGAGTGCATGTGATGTTGAATGACCCTTTCGGAACCCAAACTGGCTATCGTGCAGTATTCCCTGACTCGAGAGAAAACCATAAAGCCGTGAGTAGATAACCTTTTCAAAAATTTTACCGAAAATTGGGAGAGTGGAAATTGGACGATAATTTTGTAAGTGTTCTTGTAAGTGTTCTTATCTTCGTTATCTTTTTTGTAGATGGGGCTAATTTTACCTATCTTAAGGATGGCGGGAAAGCATCCTGTTGACATAAGGTTGTTGTATTGTATGGAAAGCACTGGGCTGAGAATGTGTGAGGCCTTTTTAATAACACTGATGGGGAAATCACTAGCTTTGCCATTTTGTAGCTCAGAAATGATATGAGATATTTCACTCTCAGTGCAGTCTGTTAAGTACATCGAATTTGGGTTAGTTTTTGGTAAAAATTCAACAAATGAAGGAAGTGGCTCAATTTTCATTTCCCCATCAACTTGTTCATTCAATTTCGACGCTATTGAGGCAAAGTACTCATTAAATTTGTTGGCTATGAGTCTACGTTCTGTGATGCGTACTCCGTCGACACAGAATTGAGGCTTTATGGTTTTTTTGCATTTTCCTCTTAATTCATTGATAACTTCCCAAGTCTTTTTGCTGTCTCCTTGATGATCCATAATCTTAGTACAGTAATATTTCTTTTTTTGACTTTTTATTACACCTTTAAGACATCGACGATAGTTTGAAAATTTTGTGTGGAGATCAATATTTCCATCTGGACTAAATTCTTTTGACGTTTTCGAGGCTATCCAGTCATCATACAGCTCCTCTTTAGTTGAAATAGCTTCTGAAATTCCATCTGTCATCCAAGGATTGTTAACTGGATTTCTTTTGGAGACTTTGGGTTTATCTAGTTTGCAGTTAGAGTCAATTGTATGTGTGAAGATGTTAAAGAAGGTTTCAAAGTTGGTACTGTTTGCCATGATATCTTCTTTGGATTCAAGGTCTGTAATTAAAGTATCAACATTTTTCTTGGAGAAGCTGTAGTGTTGGAGTAGCTTTTGGTCTGAAGAAGTTTCGTTCATGGGCATGCAAAGGTTGAACATGGCTATGATTGGTTTGTGGTGGGAATTCATATCATCAATTACCCCAGACATCGTGACGTGTTCAATGTCGTTGGTGAGTATATTGTCTATGCAGGAATGTTGGTGAATGTTTGTGGAATGAGTTGTTAATGAGATGAGCGGAAAGAATCCCAATGAAAGAAACAAATTTTCAAATTTTTGAGTTGTGGGATTTGTTCTCTTTAGAAGGTCAAAGTTGTAGTCTCCCAAAATTATAGATTTTATGTCTTTGGGGAAGAGTGACTTCAGGTGTGTCAACTCATTGAGAAACTCTTTCGAGTCCCCATTGGGTGATCTATAAACCACACCAACATTAACTTTTTCACTCCCTTTATTGACAGTAACAAAGAGTGATTCAAGGTTTTTAGTTGTACTGATAAGCTTGTCGTTTATGGTTGCATTGAAGGAACAGTGGATATATAAACAGACACCTGTTCCTTTTGTTTTATTCGGAATTTAATGCCAGATTCCTGTCAGGATCCTAGTTCTTGCGCTTAACTTGCGCGTTACCAAATAATCCAAGATATTTCTGTCAGGATCCAAGATTTTCCTACTACCAGTATGGTAGTATGGACTGTTTGGTAGTATGGTAGTATGGTAGTTGCAGGAACGCGCGAAGACCTATATGTAAATATTACTAAAGCGTACATGGAATCGTATCCTAGTCGGTTAATCAGTCGGTACTATATTAGCAGATCGCGAGTTCGAGACCCGGAAAGGAATTTTTTCACAATCTTTTGGCAATTATGAATAACTATACTAATGAATTAATAGCTATACTAATGAATTAATAGCTATACTAATGAATAACTAAACCTCTGTAATATAACTAGCAAAGTAAAATGAAATCGTTATCCGGCCGCGGAGCGGCCGAAAAATTTATGGTAGTCGTTTTAAAAATATATGGTAGCCGTTTTTTCTTTCCAGACTGGATTCCTAGTCCCTTTTTAAATTTATGTCACTGGGGCAAAACCCCTCGACAAACCCTGACAAACCCTGTTTGTCGGGGTTTGTCGGGGTTTGTCGGGGTTTGTCGAGCCTGGAGGCTACATGATGCCTTGTAGACTAATCCATTATATCACGAGGTCCGGCCGTATGTGTTATATTGAACAACATACTGAGCAATATTCTACAACCTAAGGGGATTAACCCTAAATTTGTTGTGAAACTTGTTTTCGGATTGTAGTTGATTGTCGTATGCCCAAATATGGATATATGGTTTTGTTGTATACAAGTTCAGGAAACCTCTTCCTATAAGTAAAGCGCTTAAATTCTGGGATTTTGGGCATGTTGGGGTAATTTAGGCTGGGACCCCCTCGAAAGTTGGGACACTAGTTTGTTGGTCAACTACTATCTCGAAGGCAAGTGTATAAGAAAGATGTAAAAGGATGACGTGACCCCCCCCCCCCCCTCGTACTCTGTTTTATAGATCTGGTACATTGTTCGCTCGGAATGTTGTTCAATATAACACATACGGGGTGATGAAGTGATCACTGTGGATTAGTCTACCCAGCGGTCTCCAGTACTCTGTCTCTATCGGGTCCTTCAACGTTAAGCTGTTAAGCTGATGTTGTCGTATATTGATTGTTTATATTATCTCTATAATAGACGAAATAACGTGCGCTCATTGGTCAGATATTTAATTGATGAACCAATGGACGTGGCGATCTGAACAGCAAGTCTCTTAACTTTATTTCTGCACTATAACCATGCTTGTATAGGAGAGAATTTATCACTACAAGTTGACCTTTAATTGTTTGTTAACACAATTGGAAACTATGGGAAGATGTAAAGGGATGACGTGTTCCCCTCCCCCTCCCTCCCGGCTTGATTGATATGTCATTGTACGGTTCTTTTGCGATAGTCAAAACGCAACAACTAGCGCTGGATGGCGACAATTAGCGCTATCCAGCGCTAGTTGTCGCCACCCAGCGCTAGTTGTCGCTATCCAGCGCTAGTTGTCGCTGGCTATGCGACACTGTCGCACCCAATAGTTTGGGATGGCCAGCGCAACTGGCCATCGCAGAAAACAGTACGATAACTAGCGCTGGATAGCGACAACTAGCGCTGGATAGCGACAACTAGCGCTGGATAGCGACAACTAGCGCTGGATAGCGACAACCAGCGCTGGTCCAGCAGGGGCCCTGTTTTACGACAGATTGTCGCCCACATCCAGAAACACGCCATCTTGCCAGGCAGCCTGGGAGGAATTTTTTTTGGGAGGAAAAAACGGGAGGAAAAAGAGGAAATTTGTAAAAAAATCAAAGAGGAACATCCTGTTAGTTTTGGAATACAGTGAAATATTCTGATTGGAGTTGTGTTGTGAAGTTACCAAATTTACGTGAGTACTTGATTCTTTTTAATCCCAGTTTATTGCTGTCCTACAAATTTCTTTAATGCCAAATGTCGTCTAAAACACCCTATTTCGCAAAAATTTCCGGGGGGCTGTGCCCCCTACCCCCCGCCAAGGGGCTCCGCCCCTGGACCCCTGCCACAGCTTGCTCGCTTCGCTTGCTGCGCAGCTGGATAGGACACGTCGGCTCGCTTCGCTCGCCGACAGCTTCCCCCAAAGAAAAATCCTGGCTACGTCCCTGCTCGTGAATTGGTCCAGTGTTAAAAATTTGAGAGCGAAACGAGCGGGCCACAGAAAAAAGGCAAACTTGCGAGTGAAGCGAATGGGCCACGGAATTAAGAAAAAACCGCATCTGGGAGGAAATATAAAACTTTCTGGATGTGGGGCTAGCAAGCACATCCGTCAGCCTTTTTACCACCTTTACTTTTTTCTTTATTTAGACTCATCAGAAGTTTTGTTTGGAAAAAGGAAACAATGGCTACGATACACTCTACCCAATTTTGGGTTTTCAGCTCCTTTTCAGTTAATTCACAGCCATAATTACTTTTTCACTACAAATATTATTTCAGATACATCAGCAGTGCAGAGATGTTGAGTATTGTGACGAGTATTTATGAAATGGTTGGTAATATGCTTATTTTACCAAAGGATGAAGATACACCTCAAAAGAGAGTTCGAAAGATATTTATGCAGATGGATCAGGATAACGATGGGAGATTGACAAGACAGGAGTTCAAAGATGGCAGCAAAATGGATCCCTTCATTGTCCAAGCTCTATCCATAGACTATGATCAAAATAAGATTGAGCCCAAGAAATCATAGCCGAGTGATGTTGTTACGCAATTTTGTACATAGATTCAGATTTGATTTTTATAAAATTGTTATATCTACTTTTATCGAGACATGTTGTACTTGCTTTGGTTGCTGGATCCTGCTAGTACAGCTGTAAATACATTGGCACTGTACCAATTTGGCACAATATTTCTGAAAGAGTTCGTGCACAGAACTGTTCAACAAGGACAACTTCAGCCGCAATTTATTGAACAGGATTAAGTTATTGGTTCAAAGCCGGCCAATTTGTGTGAAATTTTATATTTTGCAGTATATGATAATCTAATCATCCGATATAATATCTATATATATAATGAACACGGAAATTTATATAAAATCCGAATTTTGATCATTATTTTGGTCACAATATTTTAGTGCTTGGTTGATTTGGTTGATTTGATGGCAAAAATTTGAACAATATCAATCTTTAGTCCAGAAAACTTATCGTCATATTTATCTAACTTGACATAGCTTCTATTATATATTATCTTGAACAATCAGTTAGTAATTTATAAATTTAGAGTTAATCATCTCTCACTTTTTATTTTAAAATCAATAACAATGATTTAGATCAGGTTTAAAATCATTTTTTAATGTCTTCTCAATATCATTATCATATTGCATGAAACTTTGTCACAAAGATGGTATTTGCATTAATAAAGTGATTATTTTCCTCGATTCAATGATACTTATTCATAGCGGTCGTTCACATATTACGTAATCAGCCGAGGGGGAGGGGATTTCCAAATAATTACGCTAGTGTAATTTTGATACAAAACTATGTGTAAAACTGATTACGGAGGGGGAGGGGGGGGGGGGTAAAAATTGTCCAAAAAGTGATCACGTAATATGTGAACGACCCCATAGAACATGAACAGAGTTGGTACTCTCATAAGTTTTAACCTAAATCTTAACTTAAGTCTACCCTGTGGGCTGTTCCATATAATTATTATTACTGTAACTTTGCAGATTTTTGAACTCTAAATCTGTTTTGAGCCTAGAGGGGTTAATTTTGTGATTTATAAGAAATTTTTTTGGAAGTTTTAGACTTTCACTTACTGCCCAGTTAATTTTAAAACATCTCCGTCATACCTTGCTCAAATATTAGCTTGCTTTTACATAAACTAAACCGAGTTTATGTACCTTCCCTAATATAATTTGTCAATATTTATTAAAGCAGCTTACAAAACGTGATTAATGCTGTGGATTATTTTTCATTTTGATCAAGTCATGATTTCAATTAGCCGAACATTGTATTATTAAAATTGCTTCAAAAGGTGATTTACATTTATATTCTAACCTTGATTAATATGGTCTGGATCGGTGTAAACTTACTACAGGTAAACTTACTACAATACCATAACTCACCTCCTAGAGTACCCATTACTTATGGCACATATCCCAAGTGTTTAGAATACTCGGTAATACAAAACGGTTGGGTGTTCCAGCCAAAATGTCCTCAATGCCCGGTCAATTATCCCAAATCAACAGACTTAGGTATTCCAGGTGATTCCAGGTATCACCTGGTATTCCAGGTGATGGGGGGTACACGTACTTAAGTTAGACACGTACTGTAGTTCGACAAACACTAAATTTCGACTCTGTCGAACTAAAGTGCGTGTCGAACTAGAGTATGTGAATCTATATTCCAGTTCAGGGTATTGTTGGTAGGAGTTGTGTGTATTGTGTAGTAACTAGTACCTGCAGTATTTCTTATCACCATCATTAAGGGGAAATTTGAAGATATTTACATGTAAATTTAAATCTTAACCATGAATTGTAGCATTGCTGCCCTTTTCTGCCCGTCCTTTACAAGTTGAAATATGTCTTGTGGTTTTACTGTTTCAATGTTTTTAATTATATGATCATGATCAAATATTTCCGATTGGTCACAAAAAAATCAACTTTCTCCAAGCCCAGATAAACGATACGACTATTTATATTCTTAGTAATTGCCTAATTGCCACAAGTTACGGACCTTATTAGAACTACCTTATTAACTAATTACCTAACTACACTCTAGAAAAGTGTGTCAGGATGAGTGCCATGGACTTTGACCTGCACGAGTACTATGCTCACGATTACAGGAACCCAGGTCCACAGGGGGTTATGAGCACTGCTGGTGCTATCCCAGAAATAAATGACAAGGGGGAAGTTACTATGAAGAAGGTCAAGGTTCAGAGGTGCGTATCTGCGGTTTATTTTTACACAAGAATCCGTTCTCACAAGTTACATACTCAATCACCCATCGATTTATTTCAATTTTCTTCAACGCATTGCACGTATATGTTGTGGTATCAGTAATGAGGGGTTCACATAAAAGAAACCATAAGATTGTGAAATATATATACGTTATCCAAATTTGGTCACGAGTTACTAAAGTCAAACCATGTCCCTTTTACAGATATGTGTGCGGTAAAAGACCCGACTATGCCCAGGAAAGTAGCGACGAAGAAGATGAGCCCGTGTTTTACAACGAACCTGCAGGTTTATTAATTAATTAATTAACTAATCGGTTAATTGATTATGAATCTAGCTGGTTAAGTGAATAAAAACACCTTTTCTAGAGATTCTGGAACATGTATATTTTGTATACGAAGAGTGACCACACAATAATACTTTGTTTTAAATTGGCTTTTAAAACTTAATATCATCAGGAGTTTCTGGAAAGCTAGGAGAGGATCTAAGCGGTGATCTGCCGGACCACGTGACTCTTAATGAGAGTAATGTAAAGGACAGGAGATTGGAGAGAATGAAACAGAGATCTTCAGCACCATCTGATAGGGGTAAACAGCTTTCTGTTTCTGTTTTAGTTTCTCTTTCAGTTTAAATGTTAAACTCCTTGTAAACCTGGTGACATACCCTGATCATGAGTATTCTTGAGATTTGTAGTTTTTGTAGAATGTTGATGCCATAGAAACGTATAATGATGTACAAGAAGATAGGGGAATCTGTTAAATCCTGGCTGACTAGGGAGCGCACTGTGTTCAATGTTCTAAAAGTGACCCTGTAAACCTAACCGGGATTGTACACTTTGTTAGTGTACTAAACTTTTATACTAACTGGCAGCAGTGTAAATTAGAAGATTCTGTAAGTGCTAATATATCTGCCATAATGCTGTCTATTTTCCGTTTATATACGGGATGAGGGTGTAATGTTTATATAGTTTATATGGGGTAAGGTTGTAACGAGAAGTACTCGCTGCCATGCGTTGACATAATAATCTCTTGTTCCGAGTAATGGAAAACAAATTGAGCATATTTGTACCCACACAATGTAAATTACGCGCAATAAAATATTTCCTTGTGTTTCAGGTCGTGAGAGAGCAATAATAAAACCGGAGATAATAGGCGGGGATGAGAGTGAGAGTGAACAAAGTGACGAAGAAGCAAAACACTCTTCTGACAGCGAGGAGGAGCTAGACCAGGACGAGGTAAGAGATTCATTATTCTCCTTTCCACTCATCTCATTATTATTAATCATTATGAGCATAGTATGTACAATGTAGATTAAGTTTCAGCCATCAAAAATCTTAGATTGCAGTATGAAAATATTTTGAATAAAAGCAAAACGAGAAGCCATGTTCAGTAGTTACATTATACAATAATACCCTACCCTACCCTAGACCAAGTTTAAAATACTCTATATCCGCAGGTGGAGAGGAGACGTAAGATGTTGTTAGAGCGAGCAAAGGAGCGCCAACAAGTAGAGAAGGATCTGTTGGATGTAGAGGATGAGGAGCAGGGGAGTGAGGAGGATAGCTCAGAGTACGAGGAGTATAGTGATAGTGAGGACGATATCGGACCTAGGTAAGTGACGAACCGACCGGTCTGGGGTGATAGTGAGGACGATATCGGACCTAGGTAAGTGACGAACCGACCGGTCTGGGGTTTAGTGAGGACGATATCGGACCTAGGTAAGTGATGCACCGACCGGTCTGAGGACGATATCGGACCTAGGTAAGTGATGCACCGACCGGTCTGGGGTTTTGGATGCCAGTCCGGAAATGTCATCACCAGCCCAATCCTATCCTATGCGGCATAGATATTTTATAGGGTTTATAAAATATTACTAAATAATTTGCACAATATGGTGCCCATGCCCGAGCAGCTCTCCTCAAAAAACATTCTCTCCTCTTCGGAGCAGAAAGTTTAAAACAAACACTGATCTCATAAAATCAAAAAATACTAAATTAAGTAATCAGATTAACGGGGGAAGGGGAAAAATAGTAATGGTATACATACAATATAATTGATTTTATTGACTCACCGATAAAGACTAACTTGCGAAATAACGCACAAATACCTAGCCACAAACAGTAGTTATGAAATTTATCTGAAAGGTTTTGAAATTTCTGACAACTGATTAAAAGTCAGAGAATTTGACATTTTTCCTAAAAGTTTTTTTGAAATCTCCAATCTCCAGCGACGATACTTTACGAAATTCAGGTCTTATTATCTATTTTAAACTATTTACCTTAGTTCCCAAAAATTTGTGTGCCATTATATTGAGCACAATTTATTTGAGCCCGAAAAATTTGGGCAGAAAATTTAAACTCATTTGGGCGACCGAAAATTTGGGCACAAATTCTTTGAAAAATGAACGATTTTCCACTAAAATTTCAGTTAGATATTTGCCTATTAGTTCATTATTATTCCTTATTATTCCAGTCATTTTGCTTTCAATTTTAAGCATGTAGGTGGTAGCCCCTGGACATATCTAGATCAATGGACTGGCTAAGAAATTCATGCGCAATAAGTACAAAGATTGGTACGCGAAAAACATAGTATTAGTGTGTCAGCTCAATGGAGGAGTTTCATCAGACAATATGAAAATTTATACCTGCTTGACAGTGATCCGTGAAGCACACGCTCGTTGGATCAACGAACTTTTTGGATATTTAAAAGGGAGGCCAGATGACATAAGGAAAGGCTTTGAGAAGTCGGGTATAACTGATGCTTGTAGATCAGACTTTACGGTGGATGATAATCCATTTGCAGATCTTGTTTAAATCTCTAGCTATCCGTACCTCTATATCTAGCCATTTGTTTTATTAGTAGCTGTTAGCTATTCCAGTTATTTCTATTCATTTAAAATATAAGCCTTTTTACTTGGTCAAGCCACGAATGACAGATTAGAAAACTAAAATTTCAAATATTATTTCACTTGGATATGAAGAAAAAGCCATCTTTCTATAGATTTCAGGGCCACAGGCCAATTGCCAAAAGTTTGGTTAGCAAAAAATTTAGCAGACGGAAAAGATTTAAGCAATTAATTTGGTCTGCAAAAAATTTGGGCGAGAGGCCCGCTCAAATTTTTTGTCGCCCAAATTTTTGGGAATTAAGGTATTTTAAACTATTTTAAACTATTTTCACAACTACAAATAAATGTATTTATTAAAACTGATGAATATATGGAATGTACATTGTACACCCTGTTAGTAGAAGTCTATTCGTTCGTTTGTTTCCCACCTAACTCATGCTGTTCAACTATTTGCATATTACCTAATCTTACTGAGTGCTGATATTATAGACAATTGATCACTACAAGTTGGTGTCTAGCTGAATTGTTAGTTGGTACAGTTGGAGACTAAGCACGAGCGGAGAGATAGGAGGATATATCCTCCGGTAACTCGTCCTCTGTGTTATAGATCTAGATTGTAGACTAAGGGAACGCTGTATAAATATTGACCACATAACACATTTGATATAATCACAAACGGCTAAGAACCGAACTTATCGGTCTATGAATTTGGCTGCTGGACTGGAAACGGTCAGATATCAATCTGTTTCCCTGTTCGCTAGACAAGAACCGAGTGGCAAACAGGAAAATTATAATTTAACTGAATAGTTTTGAAATTTCTAACGCTCGCGCTGGTTGCTAGATGTCAGAAAATTATTTTAAAAAATTAACGTTAACGTTTGAAATTTCTGTGATCCTATGCTAAGGACCCGGCATGTAGCCTTTTTGCCCGGCATCAGATCTCGAGACATGCATTTAGGTCCCAATATCAGACTGTGAGTACTCCAGATCAAATTATCAAAAAATACAATTTTTCTTCAAAAGTTTTGAAATTTTTAGTTGATATACCGGATTGGAACCGGAACCGAATATTAAAGCCGGATTATCCAGCGAGGACGATATTCGTATGTTATACGATTCTTCATTATCGTTTATTTTTAAAGTATTCCTAGTTTTATTATCTCAATAATTTCGCGATTTAGTCTGAATAAGTTGTATTTTAGTTAGACTGTGAATCAGATAACTGCATTGAAAGCAGTCTAATCTAGTAATAATCTCTCTCTTCAGGCTGAAGCCTGTATTTGTCCGTAAAGCAGACCGGATAACACTACAGGAACGAGATGCACGTCAATTAATTGAAGATCAGAAACAAGAGGTAAACTTAAGTTTAAATGGTGAAAAGAAGTTACAATTTACAGCAATTAATTTTAGTCTGGAGATCCTAATATCATGAAAAACTACAGAACATTTTCAATTCCAAGGTTCTTGGGAAAACTAAAGAATGGCACTTAAATTTCAAATGGGTTAACGAGTATTTAAAACGTCATTACGTGGGAACGGTGAAAATAAGAAAATGTAGAAATGTTGTTAGATCAACCCCAGAGTTCGCTACGTTGATCCAATGAGGCTCATCTTTGTTAATATCTTTGTTAATATCTTTGTTAATATAAAGAAAACAATTGTTTCTCCCTACATGAAAAGCTGTTAAGCTTGGTCAAGTTCTTTTATTCTTGTTATAAGTTTGACTTGTACTCATAGTAAAGGGGCTAATCGGGAGGGGGGGGGGGGGGGTTCTGTACGTGACGTCGACTAAGTGTAATTTTGGAATTTTTCAAAAGACTCACCCGCCCCCTTCGCGGTACTAACTGTTTTTTCGGATAATATTTTACCCCCCTGCACCCCTTTAGCCGGCTTTTGTGGTACTAACTGTTGAGAAATCACGGGGTACTAAATGTGTTTTGGTATATAAAATAAGATACACGACTCCGATTATAGGTCATATATGACAATATTTTATCTTGACAATTACATTGGCTCCATTCCCAAATCATAACTTCATAATACTCACATCCTTAGTATTCATTTTGTTATTAATGGCTTAATGGCTAACAATTAATAAGTCTATGATGATGAAAAGTATTGCTTCTCAAGACCTAGGAATTCTGTTAAAATATAAATTTAAAATAACACAGCTGCTAACACATGTACTGTATTAAAATATACAGTGTCATATTTAAAGAGTATTGGCAGATGGCAAAATGTGGTGTGTGAAGGCGATATTGAAGGTTACCCAAATGTAATAGAGCAATGTAATACTAATAGTTCAGTTTATAATATCCCCCGAGTCCCGACTTTAACCTTTATATGGTTACTCTCGATACGTTCATTTACTCTTTATAGTGTCCAATATTAAACCACACCCTTGCCAGTGCCCAGTGTCCAATGTTATTCCTTTAAAATCACACTCTTGCCAGTGTACAATGTTATTCCTTTTAAATCACACCCTTGTCAGTGTACAATGTTATTCCTTTTAAATTACGCACTTGTCAGTGTCCAATGTGTTTCCTTTTCCAATCACACCCTTGCTGGTGTCCAATGTGTTTCCCTTTAAACCACACCCTTTCCAGGTGGACAAAGCTCGAAAAGAGAACAAGAAGAAAGAATCCCACCTGTTAGTTGAACAGATAATAAAGGAGGAAATGACAGCAGAACATCTCCAGAACCAAGCTGCCGATAGCGACGATGACGGTACATAAAACTTTGTTACTCTTAAATCTTAATCGCTTGATCTGTTTAAACGGTCCGGTTACGTGTGGTATTGAGTTACAAATAATGATGGGGTGTGAGGTGATCACCACGTGACATAACACACACCACGTGACATAACACACACCACGTGACATAACACACACCACGTGACACACCACATACCACGTGATGGGGGTGTATTTCAGCCAGAACGACTCAAGTTATTGGAACTTTATTGATTTTGTGGTGATTAATTAATATTGTGTGAGAACTTAGTTGGTTATATGACATCAATGCCAAGGGTAAAATAGCTCCACCCCTGGCTCTTGTGTGTTATCATTTAGATTTATGTAAATATTAATGTAATATATTTTTCGAAAATCTATTGGTGAACATTATTAGAAACTCAGCCAAATAAAAAATTTTCTGAAGGAGCGGCAATTAACACCGACGATGAGAACGAAGAAGAGGAATATGAAGGTTGGAAAGTTCGAGAATTGAAGAGAATTAAAACTGTCAGGGAAGCAAGAGAAGCGAGAGAAAAGGAGGTGCGTTAATTTGAATAAATATATTCGACACTGTTACTAGATGAAGATTGCTGGGATAAGACAGTTACTCTGTGTTGACTTATGTTCTATTTTGTTCTATTTTGTTCTATTTTGTTCTATAAACTCCCTCCCCAGGCGTCTGAACTGGACAAAGTACGAAACATGACAGAAGAAGAACGTAGGTTATGGCAGAGAATGAACCCCAAACATCTGACTAACAAAGCAGAGAAAGGAAAATACCGGTTCCTCCAGAAATACTACCACCGTGGTGCGTTCTACCTCGACAACGAGGACACCACACTCAAACAGGACTTTTCCAAACCAACCCTCGAGGATCACTTTGACAAGTCCATCTTGCCCAAAGTCATGCAGGTTAAAAACTTTGGTCGGAGTGGTAGGACGAAGTACACTCATTTGTTAGACCAGGATACTACAAGTGCTGACTCACCCTGGTCACAGACTAACCAAATGAACACTAAGTTCCACGCTACTGCGGGGGGCACTAAACTTCAGTTTACTAAACCTAGCTCTAGGAAGAAGGAGAGGTGAGAGTAGGGGCCAGGGGGGGGGACAACTAATGTTGCTCCTCCTCCATCCACCCTCCACCCAGAATCTGTTTCGTTACATCACCAAGACAAGTTTGTTTTATCCCCAAGATTCATCACATTTGAGAAAGTTCCTGACCACTTCAGATTTTCTGTAGACTTGTTAACAATCTGGATACCTTCAGAGCTCTTTATTTTCCCGACTTTATAGTAATTTAATAATTTGTCGATATTTTACCATTTTAAGTCTGATAGCCAGTTTCATTGGTGATGTGTTGATGTTTATTAAAACGTGTATGATGTCATTTGTGATCTAATTCTAGTTCTTGTAGGGTGCTTATTTATGTAGCTCATATTTATTTTTATTCTCCCTCATTATATTGCTCTACACGAAATGACTGAATTTTCAGCCAACCTCTTAATTTGAAATACTGTACGACATCTGACTTCATAACCCTTGTATTATTGAAATTTTGACTTTATGAAAGTACACCAAATGTCACTATGAGATATCCTGAAATGTAAACCAAAATATCCTGAAACATCACACAAATAAAAGCATGCACAAACATGCACTTCCCCAGAAGCTGACCCCACTCTGACCCCACTCTGACCCCACTCCACAGCCTCTAGCTTCACAATGGCTGACGATTACATGTCGGATAGTTTCCTGGAGCAGGTCTGTGACGTGCGACCTGGTTTGGTGAGGGGGGTGGGAAAGAGAAAACTAGAGGTGCACAAGAGGCAGCTATCCAACAAGCGTGTAGGTACACAATATTGTTATTAATAGTATTTTAATATCTAGATACTATATATCATTAATGAGAGTTACCTTATCGGACCTTATTTGGGCAGACATTACGTGGAGGTTCTTTCTCTTCAGAGCTCATGGCCGGCCAAATGAAGTTCGACTAAAGGTGTACATAGTTAATCTTTCTGGTTGATCAAGTACTTTTGCAAATGTAGAATGACCAGATCTTGCTCGTTTGTAACTGTTTTCAATCCAGAATGCAAAAGATCAGTCTAGTTCGAAGAAATTGAATGCTAAAGAAACTTTGATGAAAGGCCTCGAAACCAACGTTATAAGTGAAGATAACCCTGGATTTAAGATGATGCAGAAAATGGGTTTCAAACAGGGGGTTGGACTCGGGAAGCAAGGTAAATTGCATTAATTAACAGCGACCCTAAATATCGTATGGTATTTTTGGCGCACATTTACATTTTACACTGGCTTCTGTTATTAACTATTTCCAATAATTGTCCAGTTACAGAAACATCACTCTCAATAATTACCGATAGTTCTGGTACACTTTAGATATACCAATAAAATTGATATTGCAATATTATGTTGCTCGTATAACGCTCACTAATACACAGATTGGTTTACATCGAGAATAATGGTAATCTGTAAATAAAGGTCTAGAAAGTTTGCAGTTTTAGATCTATTAAAGGGTTTGTCATGCTGATGTTGGCACTGTTATTGACCACAGCATTGTTTGTGATGGTCTCTGCAGACTTTCTTTGTACACTAAGGAATTATTTTGTGCACAGTATACACGTACTCTAGACTGGTTTCTATTTTCTGGCGACAAATGGTAAGGTTACACCACTGTATCTGATAGGTTAGAGTAGTTTTCAGAGTCATTGTTTTCTTTAACTTCAGTCTTCTAGTTCCACAACAAGCCGCGGGATTGTTAGCTAAATTTTAAAGTGTGTACGCACTACGCATTTTACCTCGTGACGCGTAGGCAGCATGTAAACACGAATGTGATTAGTCGTTAGGGACGAATACTACTTTCTATGTAGCACAGCAGGATAGTGTGTACTTAACGGTTTATTGTAGGCTTTTGAAGATGGCTGAAGAAAGTAACCCATCACTTCAAAATGCCCCAGCGAAATGGGCTTAATATGTCACTGCATGTTTCGAATTTTGATTTCAGTTTTTTTTTAGTGTCATGTCCTTGATTGGTGTATATGTGCGGTAAACTTTGAGCATCTCTGATGGCGCTAATCTGAACTCGACTGAGTTCCCTTCATCTGAGCTTAACTAGCCAGTAGTTAAGCTACCGATGAAGGGAAAAATTACCCATGATCGGGGACAAATATATTAAAATTATCATGTAAAAAGGAACGCGCGATCAAATTTAAATAATGAAAATACTGAATTTTCATATAAAACGTACTATTTTATTGCGCGCGTGGTAGACTCCATGCTGAACGAAATTCTGTGTTATGAAACTGAACACTCCATTTCCACTTTTTAATTTTCCATTTACCCCTCAATCACGAAATAAGGTATTTTAATGTCTACTCTGTATGTTCAGGCGAAGGAAGAGTGGAACCCATAAAGATTGAACCCTTCAAGAAGAAGTCCGCTGGACTAGGGCAAGCTGCAGCAAAAGAGGAAGAATGCAGAAAAAGGCTAAAAATGGAGCAAGCACGTTTAGCTGCTTACAAAGTAAGTGTTTTTCATCATGCTGTCTTGCCCATGGTTTTTGAACATTAAGAATTAATATTACGCTATCATACATTTTGTGATGCTCTTATTACAATTTGTCACTGTAAGGCTTTCCAATATCACATCATGTAAAACACGCTGCCACAGCGGAACGAAGCCCAGCTGCTGCAACAGTTCCGAAAGAACAAAAGTCAAGAAGCAGAGATGAAGCACATGCTGAGTACGGTGAGAAAGTGCCAGAACGTTTGTCGTCAGATGGATGAAAAGTGTGGGATAGTACCGCGAGAGATCTGGTATTGGCCTCCACAGAAACCTCAAGAGAATTTGGAGTCTGACGAGGACGAGGACGAGGACGAGGTTAATTAACAGATTATTGACTATTCTTGCTAAAATTTACTCTAATATGTAATACGATTACAGAATATATTCTGTGCTGACTGCTGATTCAGTTAAATCAGCAGAATATAATATGTATCGACCTGGTATGGAGGGAGAGGAGCCAACAGAAGAGAGGAGGGGAGAGGTTGGCTATTTTTGTTTTTGGGTTCAAATGATACAGTCGTTGCCTCACTCAGATTCCGCCCTACAGCTGACACATCTAGGATGGACACAAGGCCATCTAGATTGAGAAGAGATAGCACCACATCTGTGGAAAGCCATAGTAGTGAAGCATTCAGAACCCCCTTCACTAGAAGACGAATGAACAGTGACCAACAGAGATCCACTGCTCCAAATGATTTTTTAGAAAAACTTATGGAGAACATGAAGCAGGGCTTCAGTCAACAACGAGCAGAGATAGGAATTATGAAACAGGGCATAGACACACAGATAGAAGCCCTCTGGAAACAACTGAGCTCCATCAACCAACTCAGCCTTCCCCAACCACCAACATTCCACCAGTACCAACTACCCAACCAAATGGTACAACCCCCAACTGCCCCGTGGAACAACGGCCAGAATCAGTGTTCCATCTACTAAATGCGCAGTGTCTATCCCCTAAAGCCACCAGCACGACAAAGTGGAAAATACCCTTCATTTCCGATACCATTCTCAACAACAAAAATACTTTCGTGCCATTCATGGGGATAACAGAAACGTGGCTGAAGAGCTACATTACCGATGCACAATTACAGGTAAAAAACTATTCAGTCTTCAGATCAGATAGAGACCTGAGAAACAATGGAGGTGCATTGTTATACGTTCACAGCTCATATATTGTGTCTGACTACAAAAGTTTTGGCGACAAATTCTGTAATTGTGTAATCCTCAGGATAGAGGAACTGAACTGTGTTACCGCAACAGTCTATAGACCACCTGACTGCCCGGTGGCTTCGTTCAGATATATATTAGAGCAGATTCAATTATTCATTGACTCAAGACCTGAAGAAAATCAGGAGCTCTACGTAACAGGAGATTTCAACTTACCCAATATAGATTGGAAAATATTAACTGCAGACAGCTCTCTAGGGAAGAGAGGAACAGAGTCGGCGACCCTTCTACTTGACTTCATGTCGAAAAATCTTCTCTCACAAATCATTAACCAGCCGACACGTGGTAACAACACCATTGACCTGGTCTTAACCAACCGTGTGCAATATGTTTGTGAGACACAGTCCACAGAAACTAGTTTATCTGACCATAATCTTGTGTCCGTAGTTCTAGGCTACGACGCCAGAAGAAATGAAAACTACTATCACAATGTGAAGGAAGCAGAGGATTTCACATACTTTAGCCTCAACCTCCACAAAGCAGATCTTGATGCCATAAACAGAAAACTCATAGATGTTGAATGGAACACACTTCATAATCTGTGCCCACAAGAAGATGACGGATCGATGTTTGCAGAAATCGTCCGACTGACAACACTACAGATCTGCTATGCCCATACCCCTCTCAAGGAAACTCCAGCAGCTAATGCCAGGCCCAAAATAAGCCGACCCAGAAGGATACTATACAGAAAAAAGAGAAAACTCAAGGCACGCATCAGATGTCTTAAGATATTAAACCCGGACTCCCTCTCCTTACCTACCCTAGAACATAAAGTAAATCTGATGGCTTATGAAATTCAACAAAACATAAGTATGGAGATTAACGGAAGAGAGCGCAAAGCTGTACAATGCGTTAAGAAAAACCCGAAATATTTCTTCAGCTATGCAAAAAGATTTTCTAAGCTGAAATCAAATATCGGTCCGCTAAGAAGCAGCTCCACAGGAACACTACAACATGATGCTAAGAAAATGGCGGAGATCCTTCAAGACCAATATTCTTCAGTGTTTAGTGACCCTGACAACGAGAAGAAAAAAGACACAACCAGCAATATAACATCGCCCTCAGAAAAGTTAACATCATTCAACTTTAGTAAAGAGGACCTCATCACAGCTATTGATGAAATTGATGCTGACTCGGCAACATCTGATGGGGACATTCCAGCAAGGATACTGAAAGCTTGCAAACAACCGCTTTCAGAAGCCCTGATGATCATTTGGGAGAACTCCTTCAGAAATGGTCAAGTTCCTTCAGTCTATAAGGAACAATATATCACACCAGTGTTTAAAAAAGGAAACAAAACAGACCCGGGAAATTATAGACCTGTCTCGTTAACTTCCCATATGATAAAAGTGTTTGAGAGAGTACTAAGAAAGAACATGGTAGAGCACTTGGAGTCGAATCACATATTCTCTAAGAAGCAACACGGCTTCCGGAAAGGTAGAAGCTGTCTTACACAGTTATTACAACACATGGACTACATCCTAAACAACTACCTAGACAGCTCCGAAACAGACGTGATATACCTTGATTATGCTAAAGCCTTCGACAAGGTGGATCATTCCCTACTTCTTAAAAAGGTTAAGTCGTATGGAATACAAGGTAATCTGTACAAATGGATTGAGCAATTCCTCCTTGATAGGACTCAAACGGTCATTGTCGACGGAAAGCATTCTAGGCCAATGCCGGTTATCAGTGGAGTACCGCAGGGGACTGTACTTGGTCCAATCCTCTTTCTTCTTTACGTCAACGATCTAGATCAGTACGTGAAAGATTCCAAACTTAGCAGCTTTGCCGATGACACCCGAATAGGCAGAAAAATATCGACGTTAAACGACTGCAATCTTCTTCAAGAAGATCTAAACAGAATCATACGTTGGTCCGAGGACAACAACATGAAACTGCACGAAAACAAGTTTGAACTTGTTTGCTATAGAACACCGGCCTCTAAATCACTTTCAGAGGAGCTGCCATTTATGAGTGACATCACAAACTACACCACTCCAAATGGATCAGTCATAGAAAGAAGCCCATTAGTGCGTGACCTAGGAGTCAACATGTCCGATGATTACTCCTGGACACCACATATCAACATCATGGTTGACAAGGCACGTCAGATGGCATCTTGGGTTCTTGGAGTATTCAAAGACAGGACAACACCTGTTATGCTCCAGCTCTACAAATCCCTAATAAGGTCCAGAGTGGAGTACTGCTGCCCGCTTTGGAATCCAAACAAGATCTATGATATCCAGTCTATCGAGAGCATACAACGCCAGTTCACTAGACGAATTCTAGGGCTGAGAGACACCGATTATTGGAATAGACTGAAGGAACTGAAACTTGCATCACTGCAAAGACGCCGAGAACGCTACACCATCATACATCTGTGGAAAGTTCTCCAGGGTATATGTCCAAATGACCTAGATGTACAGTTCAGAGAGAATGCCAGACTGGGAGTTAAAGTTATACTCCCTTCTCTCACAAAAAAAGCATCAGCTGCTGCACGCTCCACCTACGACCACTCATTCGCAGTGAGAGCTGGAAGACTCTGGAATGTTCTCCCCAAAATTGTCAATACTCAAAGGACTTTGACAAGCTTCAAGACATCTCTTGGAAACTTCCTAGACACCCTTCCAGACAAGCCCCCTACTCCTGGATACAGTGCAGAAAACTCTAACTCGATAATAGACTGGTGCAGTCAAGGAGGTGGTCCGCAGATTGCGTGATGGCCGTGAAGATGCCTACTTCTAAACCTATCAATAGGTTCAATAGGTAGGTTCACTCGTAAAAACAACAATATAAGATGTTGATTGGCCACAAAGTATTAAGTGAGTACGTAATATGTAAACGACCCTTATTGGCGCCCCCCTAAGATGGCCCATTGCCCCCCGGCCCCCCCCCCCCCAGCGGGGCCCTTCGTTACGCCATTGAAAGTGAGTACGTAATATGTAAACGACCCCTATTCTTAAGTTCCAATCGAGTTTTTCGTGGCTCCACTGGCTCTGTTGTGTTTTCAAACTGCTTAAAATCAACAGCCTTGATAACAGTGGTATTCCTTATGAAATAAGAATAATTACAATTAAAGTAATTACAAATTAGCATAACAAGGCATGGCGCCCTGGTAACTTTTTATCAGACCTGTTCATTTGCAGGCTAATGCGAATTAAAACACTGATAAACCTCTATCGGGAATTCCAGTAAATCAGGGATCGGATGAACAGTTATATACTGTATTATCATATCAAATTAAACACTGTCTGATATACAGCTCTCGCATCCGATTTGAATAAACTTGCTAAATCACCACTTCAACAGCAGGAGGAAGAGCAGCCAGATCCAGAGAATGTCATATTACCGGAACTAGACGCGTATCTGAGATACCAACACAGCTACTGTGTGTGGTGTGGAGTGAAGTACATGCACAGAGAAGACTTGATCACCCACTGCCCTGGAGACACTCAACAGGCACACGACCAGGATGATGCCGGGGACTTTGCCGGGGACACAGACTTTGCAGATTGAGAAAACGTGGACTTTAGTCTGTAGTCGGGACACAGATTCTTGTTTCTGCTTATAATTGAGAAAACGTGAACTTATTAGTTAGACTGATTGAGATAACTCAGTAATATATTGATGTGTGCTATTTCAATTAATATTTTAAATACCATTTAAAATCGAAGTCATCATTTAGACATTTAAGACGCCGAATTTTCTTTCTCAAAGTTCACGCCTGTCAGTGTCTTGACTCTTACAAACCAATTTGTAGCTTATATTAATGATGTGTAACAGATGTATAATAAGAGTCATATTTATTGTTCAAATATTTGACGTATCTATAAAATAAAACGTATTTTTTTTTTAAATTAATAAACTTTCAAATTGTTACACAAATACATCATTTTATTTCAAAGAAAATATCGCCGAATGACCTTACATGCCTTGACAAGTGACCGAGTGTAAACAAAATAAGGGACACCGAAACACCAGTTGACCAGTAAACTGATCATAGCAATTACATCGGGCCCTAAATGCACCTATAAGTGAAGCGATGCTGCAACCAAGGCATGCTAGGTTTATTCCATTGAACTAATAAGGTTACAGCCTAAAATATAAATATAATAAATAACAATGTACCATAAATCATAATTATAAACACACTTTATTTAAAATATTTTATTAATTATACTTTTTATCAATTTATATTTAGACAATATAGTTACATTAAGGTAAATTGTTTAACTGTCAGAGGATGTTATATGGTCGTTTAGAACTGTCCAGAGGTACTTAATTAAATGGGTTTTAAACACGGATGGCCTTGAGATTTCCCTTAATTCATAAGGGAGTTTATTCCAAAGAATGTGTGCTCTGTAAGACTTAGATATGCCTGAACATCTGGTCTGGCTTGACGTAAGGTTTTGTGGAACTTGAGGAGAAATGTCACTAATCATACTGAGATCGTCTAGATGTGATCGCCTTAACCTACTTCCCATGAAACGTCGTAAGTAAGGTGGAAATGTCACAACTGACATGTCATAAAAAATATTATGAAAATATAATATATCCTTGTAATCAAACCTAACCGAGAGTGGAAGGATATTTAGTTCCTAACACGCTATGAAATACCTTTTTTTGTCCCTAAGGCTCAAGTAAATATCATTAAGGATCCACTTGATACCTCTTTTTGTATCGATTCAAGTTTTCTCCACCGAGGTTTCTGAATGAGGCCGCCAGACAATTGTAAAATTGCTCAAACTCCAAGTAAAACAAACACAAAACTTGTTGACACACGCTGTAACCCCTTTTATTTTGATCGCGCGCCGATGAGGTATACAACGTGTAGCAAAAAACTTGCAATGCATCCTCAATCCTGCATTTGCTTCATTTGTCATTTAATTGTTCATTGTATGTTTATAATGTATAACGCGCGCTGAGTTCAGAGTTGGACTCATCGACGGTCTTAATATTTAGAATAGATATTTTACGTGTATCACTATCGATCATACCACCCGTTAATTGCTTCATAGTCTATGTAATAAGCGCCATGAGTTGGCACAGAATTTGTTGTCTCTGATTTTGATAAATTTGGTACCAAAAGTTGTCTAAAAATATGAATAAAAATGTAATAGTCTCAAGTCTATGTAATAAGCGCCATGAGTTGGCACAGAATTTGTTATCTCTGATTTTGATAAATTTGGTACCAAAAGTTGTCTAAAAATGCGAATAAAAATGTTACATAAATTATCACTGTTATAGTACTAGTACACGTTCATATTCATTCTGTGTACGCCGATGCGCGCAAAAAGAAAAATGGTGAACGCGTGTGTCAAGGCTTCGAGCTTGAAGTTGATTATTGAATCAACGATCAATATCTTCAATGCAATCTCGCTAAGCTCAACGCTGTACTGTGTGCTGTGGCGCACAAGTGCGCGGCCATTTCGCAGAAAATACCATGAGAGATTTATTACCTGAAAATTAAAGAGCGCAACGTTTACATGGGGACCCAGGCTGTTTGTCAAAAAGAATTAATGATTATACGTAATATGTGAACGTGGAATTAACGACCCCTAATGCATTTGTCATACGTTGTATGACCCGCTCCCCCTGTATCGTCGAAGACGATACAGTGAAGCGACCGTGGGGGTAGTGGAGGTAGTGGGGTAGTGAGGGTAGTGAGGGTAGTGAAGCGACCGTGAGGGTAGTGGGGGTAGTGAAGCGACCGTGGGGGTCACCTGCACATGATACAATAATGCATATAATGTGCGCCGAGTTTGGAATTGGACTCGTCGCGACTGGCGACGGTCTTATGAAACAAATATTTTACGAAATGTTCCCGATTGCAGATATGATGTTGTCATCCATGATGCAAAAATCTTCAGAAGTTTGCGGATTTGATTCACGATGTCAATCCTTCGCATTTCGCCGATCTGCATACTGTGGTTGCGAGAAGAATTATTTGATGCGCGGCGCGACCCAGTAGTGCATCGCGCTACAATTTACGGATGTTCGATCATAGGTAACGGGAAATTTGGGTCCTTGATATCAGGAGAGCTTGGATCACTGAACACGGAGCTAAACTGCTCCTGAAGTAAGTCCGCCATCTGATTTGTGTCAGTAGTGATCTCCTGTATGGTTTGCATCAAATAGCATGTTAATACTGGATTTGATAGTTGAGAGGGATCGGGCATAACTCATTGTTCATATGCTGCGCCGTTTCAAATTAAAAACCGGATAAAGTTGAAATTCAATATTTTTTGGCTGATGTTTTAAAAAAATTGAATTACGAATCAACGAAACGTGAATGGTACAGGGAATTTGGCTATCAACATCAAACCGTGCAACGAGTCTAACGGTTATTCTTCTAAATAAATCAAATACCTTTTTGTCTAATGCAGCCAAACTTTGGAACGCTGTTCATAAAAAATTAAACTTCATGCAATTGCCTAGAAACGTCTATTAACTTGATAAAATTGAGAACCAAAGCACTATTAATACAAGCAAAGGCAGTTGACTTAAAAGATACTTGGACTCCAAACAATTTTAAATTGCAGTAATTTAATCTAATTGCAGCGGTACACACTTTCTATTACTATCATGATTGTACTATAGTAGACAGAAAATCTCTCAAATCGATTTTGGGCTCTTTTAACCATTTGTTCTAATGTTTTTAAATTTACAAAATTTTTTATCGGAACGAATTAATTAATATTTAATAATTTATTCAGTAGTTTCATCTGATATTGATATTGATTATATTGATATTGTTATTATTGAACGAAGTTAACTCTAGACATAAATAATATTACTTCTTTTAACAAAGGAACTTGGGTATAAACGACCAAGTTTGCATACATTTCTATCCAATCAAGAATTCAGGAGGCAAAGGTGGGTGCGTAAACTTTATGGTATGCACTCTCCGATCCTGTATCACCCTGGATTCTTTTCGACGTATCTTTGTAAAAGGTATACACCTTCTAGTCAATCTCTTGCTACTCCAAGTCCCTTATGATATCTGATCTAAAGTTCGTGCTAGTTATTTATATGAAATATATTTTTGTCTGCTATAATAGATACTAAATAAAATTGTTGTTTTCTTGAAATTGTTGTTTTGTTTTCTTGATTAATAAACAATCTAATACTTAAAAAATCGAATTAAAATGCTAGGAGACATAAGGGGGCAACATTTCGATTTTAGGATTAGGTTGATTTATTACAGATATTAGTACTGAGTACTAGGTTAAATTAAGTATGGTTTTAAAACTACTTTTCTGAATGGAATGGATTTACAAATAAAGATTTTTCAAGTTTATACCCGTGATTTCCCATTTTTGCTTTAAATTGTTTAAAATTTTTAATCTTGTTAGCATTTACATGTTATTATCATTAAGGGTTAAATTGCGGGCCATCACTCTTCTGTCAAGGACCAAAACTGTTTATGCTGATATAGCAGTATTTTATCATAGGGGTGCTGTCTACAATGACTTGTCCTGTGGCTCGTGTAGACCTATACTTAATCCAGGATATTGTTGGTGAATTATGCCATCTCTTGCACCATTAGATGTCTGCTTCAGTTTCTATAAATAATTGTGAATTCTGGACAATTTACTCAAAGATCTTCAAGATAAATTCTGACTTCAAAATATAGTTTCAAAATAAATGTCTTATTAAGAGCACATAGTCCACACAACATTTTGTTTATTGTTGAAAAAAGAATTCAATGCTGAGCCTATAAACTGCTCTTTCATTCCAGATCCCAGACAATTGATATCTAAATTAACATTGGGATTGTCTTCTTCTTCTTAACAGCGGCACCATGACTCGTTTACTTTTGATAACAAGAAGCCCAAATATTAATTGGTGTATAAAATTATTAACTAACTTCCCAACTTATTTCCCAAATTATTTCCCAACTTATTTCCCATACCAGTTTCTTGCCACTTTGTTTAATAATAATTTGTGTCTTTCCTTCAACATGTGAGACTGACATTGAACTTCTCCATACAGGCTGTGAGCTGTCCATAAATGTTGTCAATAGACTTGTGAGCTCACTTGGAAAGCATTGCAACCTTGAACATTCATATCCCTAGTTGTTTCAAAGTCCTATGCTTAATGTATTCACCACAGTAAAACCCTGATTTACTAAAGTTGTCAGGAAAGGAATTAAATACATTAATGTTAAGATTCACACCGAATAAATGTAAATAAACACCCAGTATCTCGGGACCTAGTAAATCAGGGTTTTGCTAAAGTAGTAACTTTAGAATTTCAATAATTCCGATTAAATATTTTATATTATTTACAAGTCCTGAACAATTCCAATAACTTAAAACCGTGATTTATCTAGGAAAATGGGAAGCGTAGATTGATCTGAATAACTATGAATGACCCAGTGAGTATAGTGCTACTAATCTTGTGTGACTTATTTTTCCTGCCATGTTGTATGAAATATTTGCTTATCAGTTTGTTATAATACCTTGACTGTATTCCCAGTTTTTTAAACTGCCAATGCAGCACCACCTTATAATAACGTTATAACTTGCCTAATTTTTTATTTTTTCCTCCCTTCAACGTCTGCACAATAAGACTAAATCCTCTATCCCCAGGAAAGTGAAGACCTAGCATCGAGTCCAGATCTCCCGTCAAATATTGCAGTTGTTGGGTCCCCTGATGATGCAGCTAGGAGAACCCAGGAATGGTTAAAGGAGTCTGTAGAGGACACATTCTCTGACAGTGATAATGAAACAGAGGAGAGCTTGGTATCTGAGGTAGGTCACAGTTCAGGTTAAATGTTAGCCAGGCGGACAGATGACCCTAAGTTTAACATTGAGTAGTAGGAGTGTCTATTCTATATGATATGTTAATATTTAATAGTGTAGTAATAATGTATTAAAGTTTTGTTCAGCCAAGTTACTGTGTGGCTCTCAGCTGTGCCGTGATTATTCATGTTCCTTCAACTCGTTGTAATGTAGATAATAGAAATTATGTTATTATATATTAGTAGTAGTAGTAATGAAGTATGTGGTATGTTGTAATTTAGTGCCTTGTAATGTAGTAATGTAGATAGTATTTATATATAATTGATACTCTTTCTACTCGTAATGTTAGTATTTAGAAAAACACGTGTCAGGTATTCGTACTCCATTGTTCTATTCGCTGTAGTCAACCACATTTAAAATGTGCGGTAATACATTAGATTGATGTGAAAGTACATACCGCTGTGAGAACATTGTACTTCATGCCGTTACTGTCTCACTATACTGCAATTCTGCAATAATAATTTAGCAACATTTTATATGTGCATTGAAGCGTGACTCCCACGAGAAGTTACACTTACAGAATATACTTATTACTTAAATAGCACTATATCGATGTGTAACTTTTAGTTTACTGAACATCATTATAACACCGTTATCAGCTGAATCTAGTGAGTGATCAATGTTACAATAATTTATCAAGTTCTCGTTTGTTGTATTATTGTATCCAAATAGTAATCAATAGGTAAATTATATTAAGAAACTATTAAGAAATAGGTAAATAAATTCTAGTATTTGTAACACGATACAAACGTCTATTAAAATGATACATTGATGCGTGACCTAGTATTAAAAAGACAACACAAATATTGTTTTATTTCTTAAGAAATGATTTAAAAGATTCAAAATGCTATAAATAAATAAATGAATCAATAAATTCTACTCAGGAAAGTAACAATCAAGCTAGATTTTTTGTTATAGTAGTGTTGAAAATATCAATGATATAATTGAAACACTCAGCTCTGAGTGTATTCAAAGAAATGATAATCGATCGAATCTACTGTGCAGTGTTAGAAAAGCACATTAAATTAATACAATAGAACAGTTCAGAGTTTAAACTAAACTTATGACCCAAAGATATACTTTGAATAATCTTAATCTCCTTAGAAACTATTGGATGATTTAAATGACAAATTTTACAGGAAGGGGAGGAAAAGAGGGGTCCCAAACGCAAAAAGAAGATTAAACGTGATACAAGTTAGTTTTTAAGCTTTTTGATTCAATAACTAATCAGTGACCAGCTCCCTTATGTTATGAATTTAAAAGCTTTGTTAGGAGAGATAGAGAGAGAAAGCGGCAAACCAATCTTTTAAAATCTATTACTAAATAGTTTCTTAGCAGTTGCTAAATGATTTCTAAACGGTTTCTAAATAATTACCAAATGGCTTCTGAAAGATTTCTACTAAGATTATAAATAGTTATAAACAGTTCAACAACTAGTGCCTACTTAATATTTGAATAATTTTCCTGATAACGACGCTTAACCCCATCTACCTGCCCAGAATACATTCCAACCCTAAAAGACCTGCAACTAGTGGGGGACATCCTGTTCACTGAGCGCCCTACAGTCGGCTACTCAATGGATGAGCAGAAGGAGCTCATAGCCCTAGGTGACGTCACTAATTTAGCATCCGAAGGACGGGTTTCCGTTTTTGAGAAAGGGGTTCAGTTTGAGAAGAAAGGAAAACCTGGGTAGGCTCATTTTTAAGATCTGTTTTGTGTGTAACCATTTACTTTGTATAATACAGAGCTTTTCTTCACATGAAGTACCTAAAGTAAGTATGATATTGATGTACATAACCTGTTAATATTGTTATTGATACATGATATGATATTGATACTGTTTGGCACCTTGACAACCGAATAACACCCTCAAATACCGTTATATGAGTCCGCTTTTAAGGTCAAGAAAATTAGTGTAGCAGATCACGCATTGTTATTTAGTTCCGTAATATCGCTTTAGAACTTTTTTCTTGACAAATCTGTTTAAAATACCAACAAAAGGGACATCAGCACTCTATAAATAGAATAATTGTTGTATTTAAGTTGAATTCATACTTTGTAATTTAGACTTTATCCAATAACTGTCAGAATAACTATTCCAAATTAAAGTAACATGCTCATTGCTCATTCATCTCAGAACTTAGCAACACGTCCCCACATCTAACTCCCACTTCTCACAGACTGGCACTGCAATGTTACCTAGCTTGCATACAAGGGCTAGACGGACAAGTTGGCAAGTTCCCGCAACTGCCCCAATGTTTGCGGCACATTGCGCGGCTCTACTTTGCAGAGGAGGAGTATGAGAAAGCTGTGCACTTTGTTCAGGCTGAGAAACTCTACTACGAGACTGCTATTCTAGGTAAATGGTAGAATAGTGTAGATAAGTACATTTCACAGTGTGTGTTTGATTACATGATCCAATATTGAATGGAATAAAGGCAAAAGGGGTTCAATAAGTTATTGATATCTCTGTGTTAACATAACCATAATAATCACGACAACGATGTTGACAAATTAAGCATTATATTTGGTTAATTGTGCTATTGTAAGTAATGTATGGGGCGTTAAACACTATCTATGTTTCTTTAGTATTTTTCTGTTCATTCCCAAAAATCATTATTATGAAGAACTTTATACATCTAAAGACCATATTATTGGGGGGGGGGGGGGGGGGGGGGGTTGGGGGCGGGTCACTTTATTATTGGCATCCAAAATGTGATGTAGAAAACTCTGGAACTCCTCATCATTAAAAGTGAGAAATTAACAGCTTCAGTGTTTTTAACTTTTTAATAGATGAATCGCACACATGTTACCATGTAATCATATATGTGTAATATATACAGCACCTGAATAATCAGCTACTAAAGTTGTGAACAAGGAAGTTTGTGAGTTGTGCATAATGATTGGCATGCTTGTGGTGGCTAATTTCATCTACAACTCTCTCTGTATGCATGCTATATCAGCTCTGTCATACTAAAGGTAAAATAATTATCATTATAATCAGAGATTATAATCTAATCATGTCCATAGTATATTCAAATAATTAATGAGTATTGAGGTATACGCAAAGCTATGTAAAACTTCTGTCATTTCTACAAATATTTTTAAACATGCTAATTCTTTGAGTGGTTAATTATTAATTAAACTAATCAATTAATCATGATATTCGCTCATTCCATATATAAATTATATATATATATATATATTTCATGACATTAGGTTGTGAAACGCTTGATCATTTTAATCACTATGCAACTAAATATCAGCTGCTGTCATATTATATTCCTGTAATCAGTTTATAAGGTTCGACCAGGTGATAAGAAAATATCACTTAAGAACTGAATTAGGCTCCGAAACTTGACTCTAGGAAGGCTCTCGGTACAGCGTTCACACACAGTATTCCAGTCTATATTATACATGATGCCAGTACCGAATAGTACCGAGTCAGTACATTATTACACATTACTACTAATAAATACAATATGTGTACTGACTTTTCTGGAACAATACCTGTCGTACAACATGTTAACAATTGCGCGGTACACACAATATGCCACCTTTCATACAGTGTGTGACAGTGAGTTGTCTGTTAACTTAATTACCTTACATCTGCTGTAAGTCTCGTTCTTACATAGATTTACATTGTAAAGAGTACCTTGATGTGGCTGATATAGATTTGGGTTCAATGGTCGGCTCTCCCCATTATATATTCTGAAGGGTCGGCTGTCCCCAGAGATTCTCAAGGGTTGGCTTATTCCAAATATTCTCAAGGGTCGGCTCCCTCAAACTATTCTCAAGGGTCGGATCTCCCCAAATATTTTCAAGGGTGAGCTGTCCCCAAATATTCTCCAGAGTCGGCTGTCCCCAGATATTCTCAAAGGTCGGCTCTCCCCAGATATTCTGAAGAATCGGCTCTCCCCATAGGTTCGGGTTCAAGGGTCGGATCTCCCCAGAGATTCTCAAGGGTTGGCTTATTCCAAATATTCTCAAGGGTCAGCTCTCCCCCAAATATTCTCAAGGGTCGACTCTCCCCCAAATATTCTCAAGGGTCGGCTCCCTCAAACTATTCTCAAGGGTCGGATCTCCCCAAATATTTTCAAGGGTGAGCTGTCCCCAAATATTCTCCAGAGTCGGCTGTCCCCAGATATTCTCAAGAGTCGGCTCTCCCCAGATATTCTCAAGAGTCGGCTCTCCCCAAATATTCTTAAGGGGAGATTGAAAAAAAAAAGAAGAAAAAACTCGCTCATTTCTCTACAACGTCGAAGGGAACGCTATATGACTATATCCTGCTACACATGTGGAAGATCCTCCATGGGTCCATCAGCAACGATCTGAAGATTAACTTCAAGACCTCGAACTGGCATTAAAGCAGTTGTCCCCTCCCTACGAAGGGGTGTTGCTGCTTACCACCAGAGCCTCTTATGACAATTCGTTCGCTGTTATTTGCCCACGTCTCTGGAATTGTCTTCCTGCTTACATCAACAGGATGAATTTGAATCCTTCAAAATACAACTCACATCCTTGCTCCGGCAAATCCCTGACCAGCCTTCGGTCAAGTGATACACATTCCCTAATACCAACTCCATCCTGGAATGGCTAAAGGATCCTGTTACATCGGAGCTATGGGGCAGTCAAGATAGTTGATGACCCTGTTGCAGTGCGCTAAACCCAACAAAAGTAACAAAGTAAAATAAGGGTCAGCTTTCCCTAAATATTCTCAAGGGTTGGCTCTCCCCAAATATTCTCAAGGGTTGGCTCTCTCCAAATATTCTCAAGGGTCGGAACTAATCAATTATTCTCAAGGGTCGGCTCTCCCCAAATTACCCTCAAGTATTATAGCCGCTCCATTTAAGGAATGATACGAATTATCTGATCAGCAAAGTTTATCCATAGGAGAACAACTTAACCGTTTTTACCAAAAGATAATTTGATGAATAATATGGCACAAGACCTTTTAAGTTTTTAATCCAATGCAATGATTGGAACTAATCCTGTCATTTATTTACAGCTACCACAGGCAGAAAGACAGAAGAAGAATCCGATGTTTCAGATGGACCTCAGGATCTAAAGTCTATGATGATAGCTCGAGCTCAGGAATTTGAGCAACTTGCAGACATGTGTCTCCACAGCAAAAAGTATGCAATCTATTCTTATTTGTAAAGATATGACGATGTTTTGTGTGTTCTGAGCTATTTGTGAGCCAGCAGCTGTGATACTTGGCTTGCTGCACTGCTCGTGATTTGAGAGTGCACTTGTGTGCTATGGATACAGATTTGCACTCCTATCGATAAAAATATTTAGAATACACAAATTGACATGAATTATCCATCAAAGAGCTGAGGAAGCTACTTTTTGTTTTAACCATATCTTCTTGTGAATTCACCATTAAAATCAATTAGTGAGATTACACCCCTTTTCAGTGTCGGATTAGCTCTGGACTACATTGGGAAGGTTCGTTTTGAATGTTTAAACCTTGTTATTGTAATATATTTAGTTATATCTAATCTAGGTCAGTGTAGGTCACTATCGGTAGAACCTTACAAGATATCACGTGCCCATTGGCAAACTACAAGCTTTTGAGTTTTGTTAACGTAACACGCATGGTTTTGGTTGAATAAAAGAAAGCCGCGCATTTCCATGCAATCGCATGCAGCTGCGCGCGCACATTATATTGGTATACAGCTATATAGCTAGCTAGCACTTCTAGGTAGTTGTGTTGTGTTGTAGCTACTCAAGGTTCCAGTAGTTGAGGTCCTGTAAAATCGCAATTTCTTGTTTATCATTAAATTTCTATTCTTGAAAACTTCTCCATTTACAGAACAATTATGTTGAATTTCAAAATGAGTCAGTTGCTTAAATGGGCAATAATTCAATCTCGACAGGCTGCCAAAATCAACGAAGCAGTGTACGGGAAAAACGATCACAAAAGTCGACAGAGTTACGAGAAGTTCTCGTACATATACGCGGAAGCCGGCAAACTACAGTACAATGGTGAGTTGTGATTGTAGCTATACTTACTTTGCTGGCTTCACTGTAGTTAATCTTACTTTGGTTACTTTGGTTGTGTTTATCCTCGTAGCAGGAAGGGTCATCAGATTTCTGACCACCTCGATGGCGAGTAGTCTACCAGGGAATTAGACCAGCTGCAGCTATAACCGGAAGTCGGAGGGTTGTCCGGTATCAAAGCAATAAACTTGGACAAACTAACTTTAAACGACTCAAACGTAGCTTCAGCTTTAATATTATCAGGCACTTTGTTCCACAGTTTTGGTCCTCTTACAGCAAATGAGCTGTCATAGAGTGTCTGGTTGCTCGAGGAACTCAACCTAGACAGGGAAGGGATGATTGCTCGGGTACCATGTCTGGATGTTTTTGTGAACCTTATATTGCTGCAATTGGGGACAACATTGTGAAGGATCTTCCACATCATCAGAATAGTGTACCGTTCCCTTCTGCGCTGCAGTGACATTAGCTTTAGATGTGAAAGCCTCTCCCAGTAGTTCATATTTTCCAGACCGCATATACGATCGGTGAATGTTCGCTGGACCCCCTCCAAAAGCTGGATCTCAGTCACCTTAACAGGGTCCCACAGCGGACAACAGTACTCTAGTAGGCTTCTGACCTTATATAGGGTAGTCATTACGGTCCTATCACGAGTTTTGAAGACACTAAACACCCATGACAGTGTGCTTCTAGCTTTCTTGACCATATTACCGATCTGTTTGGACCAGTTCAGATCGCTTGATACCATAACTCCGAGGTCTCTAACGTTCTCAACGGGATGTAGTATTTCCTCGCTGGAGACCTTGTAAAGTAGAGTTTCCACGTAAAAAGGGAGTTCAGAAAAGGTACTTTTTCTATTGTGGAGATGATTCAGGAGCTCAAACTTCTGTTCGTGGAGCTTCATGTTGTTGCAGCGTGACCAGTCGAGAATACCGTACAGATATAGATCAGCCTGAAGCAGCAGACAGTCCTCAAAGCAATCGATACGTTTGGAGACCCTAGTATCGTCAGCAAAGAAGCTTACCTTAGAAGAGGTAACAGCTAGCTCTAGATCGTTAATAAACAAAATGAACAATAGTGGTCCTAACACACTTCCCTGAGGGACACCACTTAGAACCCTGGCACTGTCCGAATGAACACCGTTTAGGACTACAACCTGTTCACGGTCAGAGAGAAATGACTGGATCCAGCTTAGAAGTTTGCCGTGAAATCCGTATCTCTTTAACTTTAACAAGAGAAGGTCCAAGTCAACTTTGTCAAACGCCTTGGCGAAGTCGAGGTATATGGAGTCTGTGTCTTTCCCCTGAGTAAACCCTTCAAAGATGTCATCAAAGTGATCGAGCATTTGGGTCAAGCAGCTTCTGTTCGATCTGAAACCATGTTGTTTGTCAGATAACAAATTGTTGGTTTCGAGATGCTGAACCATGTGTTTCCTAACCACTCTTTCATAGACTTTGACTACATGTGAGGTCAGAGTAGCCGGTCTGTAGTTAGCAGCATCACACCTGCTACCTTTCTTGAAAAGCGGTGTGACATATCCAGTCTTGTAGAAAGTTGGGACTATGCCTTTATACATGGACTCAGACCAGAGGAGATGAATCGGAACACTCAAGCTTGAAGCACATCTTTTAAGGAGAATAGCAGGAATACCATCGGGTCCGGGTGCAGAGTCCAGCTTAATCTCAGATATAGCTTCCACGATGTGGTTAGGTGTGAGTACCAGTTCTGTATCCCTGCTAGTGAGAGGTGGTTCTGTAAATGTAGGTAGTGACTTATCAGGGCAGTTGGGGTCACTAAAGACAGAACAGAACTGTTGCTGCAGTATATTAGCTAACTCTTTCCGTTCAGTTACCAGTTTCTTATCACGGTTTAGAAGAGTTGAAATATTGTGCTTAACTTTAGAAAAAGATTTAGCGTATGAGTAAAAGTATTTAGGATTGACTTTAATTTTATCCACTGCTCTCTTTTCACCTTTATCAAGATGGTGGACTATAGCTTCCTTGATCTCATAGCAAATTAATCCAATTTCGTCTTCAAGTTTCTTGATTCGAGCTAGGTCATTGGCACACTTTGCAGCAGAGAGACGGGTTTTAAGTCGTGACTTCTTCCTTCTCAGCGAATTATAAAGCTTCGGCTGGCCAGTTGGTGGTCGTTTCCGAGGAACATTTTCCAGGCATATATTAAGCACTGTCCGTGTAAACTCTGCGGGAAATTCTTCAAAAGTGCTTGCGTCTCTCAAGTCCTTCCAATTCACTCTGTTCAGGATCTCAGTAATCGGTTCGAAGTCTGCCCGATTAAAGTCTAGGGCTCGGAAGCTCATTTCGTCAAGATATGAAGCCTGAGCCTTCTCCATCAGACCAGGGTTAAAGGATAGCAGTACATTAACCATGTCATGATCAGATATTTCTGTTGCTTCACAAGTTACATCAGATACTAGCCGATCATTGTTACACAAGACGAGGTCTAGTGTACTGTTTCCCCTGGTTGGAACAGTAACCACCTGACTCAGCAGATGGGTTGACATGAAGTTTAGCAGGTATTGGGCGGAGAGATTTGAATCAGAGGTCCCACCGCTCATGATGTTTAGTGTTTCCCAGTCAATCTGGGGAAAGTTGAAATCGCCTGTTATAAAGACGTCGTAGCCACTAGGTGCAAGGTTCTCAATAGCGAATGTAAATCTATCTATTAGGATCAATTAGGATCAATTAGCCCATGACATGTGTTACAGAGCCACACAAAACCTGTCGGCGTGTTCATAGCTGACAGGGTCTGATGTAGCTCTTTGTTTCTTTCACAACAATGTGAACCTTTGAAACATTTAAAGCAATTGAAAAAAGGCATGACCTCAGGATCATGATCAATCACGTAGTTATCACCGCACTCTCCACACTTTCCCGGCATCAGAGCCATAAAACCAAGATAAAGGCGATTGGCAAGAGATGACTTAGTGAAAATCTTAAAATCGTCCTTGTCAGCAAGAGGGGACATCGGTTAACATCGGATAATCTAGTCATTGATCTTTAATATTTTGTAAATTAGCATTAACATACCAGATTAAGATACCAGAAAGTGGTAAGTCAGAAAATATTTGATATCTTGATTGGGAGATATAGAAACTGCAGGGTATAGTGCGTGATGAAACAAATTTGACCAACTGTGTTCGGCTATAAAACGTACATAAAAAGGTGTGAGCCGTGAGAGGTATTTTGAATCCAGGTCGGGACATTGCATTGGATTTAAGGATATTTGATTTTGGAACATTGGAGATATTACTCAAATCAACATAATTCTCTACTAAATATGCATAAGTTTTTTGTTTTTGATAATCATGAAATAACCCATCGTTCGTGTTTTGATATAGTTCTTTAATATGTATATATTTGATATCTTGGTTAAGACGAATAGTGATCGCAGGATGTAATGCGCGATTATTTCGTTAATTGTTCACCTGTCCAGTATTCGGCGATAAAACTTGCTAAAAATAACGGGAGTGGGCGAAGGGGTCGCTCGAGCGTTTTGAATCGATGCTTGGGTATGGGATATCAGGATTTCACACGATGCATGTAGCAAACTTCCGGTCCAATCCAAAATTCTGTACACCAAACCAGTACTAACCTTTAACTTTCTCGCAACTTGGAAAAACATCTGACGAGAATATGAACTGAGTTGCCTTGTCGCACGTGATCACTGTACTACCTCTGAAGAGATGTTCCTCGTCCGTACAAGTGAGAGTCAGTACTGTTCCATTATCTATTGGGAAGTTCTGAGGCGCAGTCACTCCAGTCATATTAACGTCTAATCCCGTGCAAACTGAAATGTTTAAACGTCAGCTGTGCTGAATACGGGGAGTAATAGTTACATGTTAGACTATAGTACAGACAAATCCTTCTGAAAAATTCGATCTGCTGACACACGAAGCTTTCAGAGGATTTTTGACGTTTTTGAGTCCCATTAGGTGCCCTTTATGGCTGACCAACTTTTCCAAACTTTTCCACTTGTCTTAAGGCCACTTTTTGCCACTTTACCACTTTTTACCACCTTTCTTGTTTGTCGAGTATCTTTAGTTGTAAACATCGTAAAAGGTTGCGGATCAATCGAGTGTGTTCATATTATCAGGAAGAAAAACTTTTGTTCAAACAATTTTTACGTCAGATAATAAGTTAATTGGATAATTATCAATTAACTAATTAGCAAAATTCTAAAAAATTTTTATTGGCTCAAAATGATCGGAATAGCTTGAAACACGGAGAAAAGTATTTTTTAGAAAAACTTTGAAAATTTTTCACTTACATTTTTTTTTCGAGACTTAGAAAAAATTTCGAAAATTCAAAATATTTTTTCCGCCAAAAGTGATCAAACCGCATGAAACACGGAGAAAAATGCCTTTCAAAAAAACTTAATACTTAAATCGCCAATATTTGTAGTTGGAGTTCAGTAAATCTCGGCAGATTTTAGTAAACAGGAATTACTAAGTGAAGAGGTCTGAAACTGAAAAACGTTAACCATACGATCGCGCGGCGATATAAGAGTTTCATAAACTAATTTTCACAGAAACTGCACCAATGGCACAGTCAAGATCGAAACGATAGCCTGCTGTACTGTCATTTTATTGATTTCAATGATGAATCAGTGGGGTTAAGATAATCACATTTGTAATAAATAAACATCTCTGTACCGTCAATTGTGCTAATCTAAACCAGCCTACCTGTATTACCAGACCTCTTCTTTTCCTCGACAATCAAACCAAGTTGTTCATATCGCATTTGGTGGGTGATGTAAGTAGTAATACATATCGAGCTGTATTCAATCACAATACGACACAATGCAATACGTGTATATTATATTATGGCCCTTAATGAGGTATATGAAACGTTCTATACCGTACACTTCTCGTTACTCCAGTGAGAGGCCCAGTATGGAGAGGTTTAACAGTTTAGCACGAAAACGTCTACTTGGCCTCATGGCTCTTTGACAGCTCAAAGAAGGCGAGAAAAGACCAGAAACTAGAAAGCTTAAATTTTCAACTCCACATTAATCCTGAGCTGATCATCATGGCCCCGAATATCCTACGGGAAGAACCTGTATTTTTACCTCACGACGTCCTGATTTCAAATCAACACCCTCAATAACATTAACAATCCTTCCTGATCAGGATCTGTCTCTATTAGCAATTTCCAAAATATCCTGACTCTCGTGGAACATTTCACTGAATTAATTATTACTGGTTTTTTATTACCCCTTGCCCGTCATTCGTATCTACATCTTACCCTTGCCAGTATGTTACCCTTGCTGATTTTACGTTTAGCCGACCCTGACATATGGGGGTGATTTGAGGTAACCACCGATCCAGCATAGTAAATGAAGCGGTATGCAGAACAATACAAAACAAGTCACAGTTGATGTTGGAAGGTGTATTTACACTTGCTTCCTGGACCTGGCTGTTCCTTAGTTTCCCTGATCTGTTCTTGCCTTCTTCGAACTGTAAATGAGCCATGAGGCCAAGTATACGTTTTCGTGATAAACTTTAAAACGTCTCTATACCGGGTTTCTCACGGTATAAAGCGTTACATAAACCTCATTAGTCATTAAGAGCCATATAATATACACGTATTGTGTCGTAGTCTGATTGAATACAGCTCGATATGTATTAGTTTCAATACTTTCAACACTATACTATATAACAAATAATTTTAATGACAGGATGGATTACTGAGGGCACTGTGTTAAGGTGATTTAAGTGGGTCCCAACTCCCACCGACCATTCTTCTTTGTGTTATGAATACTTGCTTCATCATCTCCTTTCAATAAAAATCACGGTGTCTTTATTGACTAAGCGCATTACTACTTACATCACCCACCAACTGCGATATGAACAACTTGGTTTGATTGTCGAGGAAAAGAAGAGGTCTGGTAATACAGGTAGGCTGGTTTAGATTAGCACAATTGACGGTACAGAGATGTTTATTTATTACAAATGTGATTATCTTAACCCCACTGATTCATCATTGAAATCAATAAAATGACAGTACAGCAGGCTATCGTTTCGATCTTGACTGTGCCATTGGTGCAGTTTCTATGAAAATTAGTTTATGAAACTCTTATATCGCCGCGCGATCGTATGGTTAACGTTTTTCAGTTTCAGACCTCTTCACTTAGTAATTCCTGATTACTAAAATCTGCCGAGATTTACTGAACTCCAACTACAAATATTGGCGATTTAAGTATTCTTGAAACGAAAAATTCACTAAGTTTTTTTGAAAGGCATTTTTCTCCGTGTTTCATGCGGTTTGATCACATTTGACGGAAAAAATATTTTGAATTTTCGAAATTTTTTTCTCAAGTCTCGAAAAAAAACGTAAGTGAAAAATTTTCAAAGTTTTTCTAAAAAATACTTTTCTCCGTGTTTCAAGCTATTCCGATCATTTTAAGCCAATAAAAATTTTTTAGAATTTTGCTAATTAGTTAATTGATAATTATCCAATTAACTTATTATCTGACGTAAAAATTGTTTGAACAAAAGTTTTTCTTCCTGATAATATGAACACACTCGATTGATCCGCAACCTTTTACGATGTTCACAACTAAAGATATTCGACAAACAAGAAAGGTGGTAAAAAGTGGTAAAGTGGCAAAAAGTGGCCTTAAGACAAGTGGAAAAGTTTGGAAAAGTTGGTCAGCCATAAAGGGCACCTAATGGGACTCAAAAACGTCAAAAATCCTCTGAAAGCTTCGTGTGTCAGCAAATCGATTTTTTCAGACGGATTTGTCTGTACTACTAGGAAACCTGTTGAGTTAAAGAACAAGTCATAAGTTTAACAATTAGATTTTTACTATATCTGCAGTCATCCTCCGAGGGTCCAGTGTCCGAAACTGTGTACTCCGGGCATTTGCAGCCATCCTCCGAGGATCCAGCAGCTGATATTTTGTTATCACTACATTTGCTGCATCCAAGTGCTCCACTCTCACTGTACGTGTTTTCTTGACACTTTTCACATCCACTGTCAGCCAAATACCGTCCAGCTCTGCAAGGAACTGAAATATTTAGTCGGGGGAGGGGGAGGATGAGCATTTCTTTCGAAATTCATATGATTACAGCGGTTAATTATAATCACGCTATAGATATGATATACGAAACTATTATCTATTTTATTCTCACCCATGGCTCTAAATCTGTCGGTAGCTGTGTCCGTATCTTCAATTTTCAGTCTTACCACAGGTCTTTTCCATATATCCTGATCACATTCATCTAGCTCTATCTCAAGCAGAGGCACTAAACCCATTTCATCTTGCACTGAAATCTTTAGTTTCGATGTTTTCAGATCTTTGCTGAAGGACCAAACTTTGGGTTGATGTAGATTTGGGTTTTGATTTCTCTCTATTAATTTACCCTGACAATTCCTAATCGTTATATTGTACGAGCCAAGCGTTGCCATCAAAAGTTCCAACCCACCAGCCTTCTGCCTTCCTTCTCCACTGAACTCTAAAGAAATTCTTTCTCCACTCCCCATCGTACTTTTAACTTCTATCTGGAAAACAGATCTGTCCTCTTCAAACTCAATGTGTTGATTTGCTTTTGGGACCCTCGTGTGCCAACCTGATTGCATTTTCTTTATAACAACCAGTCAAGCAAAGCATGAACATTTGTATATAAAGATACAATCCTAAATCAGTCCCTAACAAACTTAGCGCGAGTCTGAAAGGCTGTTGGAAGCACAGAGTGCTCCATATTTTGTTTTATCAATAAACCTTTCTTTTCATTTTCTTTTTTTTTTAAATTTGTTTACTGCGTGCAAATTTCTGTTTCAGATTTGATCTATTTATGATATGCATTTATGATTATGTAATAAATATTACATTCGTAAACATTGACTGGTTTATAAACCAGTCCCAAAAAAACACATTTTTCCAATTTGAAATGAATTAATCAAATGAAAGCAAATAAATAAGTTTATTTAACCTGTAGCTGAGATGAGAAAGAGAAGTGCTGATAATATCTCCAATTTCGTTACAACTGATTTCATTTCTAACACCTATGTAGAGTATCCATCAATAATTATGGGGATTGGGACGTTGGTTAAAACGATTACAAGGATTTTTCGCGAAACCTATCCCTACTCTTAGTTATTAAGCGGTAGGGACTCGGTCTGCTAAGAATTCGGTCCGCATTCCTCAAAAATTAACAACATTTTCAAAAATACAATTCATCCTCACAAATATAATTCATCTGCCCAGTTTTATGGCTGATCAGATCGCAGTCATAAGCTATTTCTAATACTTAAACGGAAAATGACATAACAAATAAAACTCGTGTGCTTTGTTCAAGTTCTAGTTCTAATTCAAATTCTTATTCCAAGTGCCGAGATTATAAATTCATCAGCCAACGCACCCTTTGATTAGTAAACCGAAATCAAACTCGGTGATAGTCTACAAAGAAATGGCTTGTGATTAGGAGTAAGATAAAAGGCAGCTGCTTAGTGCTTACTAATCACGTACTTGGACCTCAGGACCTGACTTAGCTCTAGAATTATTTTAAGTTTATTAGTATTAAATTATGCTAGGACCCCCAAGTTGAGTCTAGAATTCAAGGTTAGGATTTTATATCATTAGTTCATAATTAGCTTACCAAAATCGGAAATTATCCAGCCTGATAAAATTATAATTATGACTTCGAATGAGGGGCATCCTGAGGAGACTGGACGTTTTTAGTAACTTTAGATTGTGAACATTTGCTGCATAACCAACATCATAGACTATTATCATCCGAATTATTTCTGTTTTACTTATAATTCCCGAGGAGGACGCTTTATTTTTAATGAGCTAACTAACGATTAGTGGATCATTTGACCGTTTAATTAATTTTTTTATCAATGACGTTTTTAAGATGAAACTTAACACGCAGTAAAGATGTTTAATTAATGCATAATGCTCAGGTTTAGCCTGTCTGTGTGACGCTTTGACTAAAATGATTATGAAAGGCGTAATGCAGTGGATGATATTATTATTATTTAATATAATAAACCTTATAATAAACCTTTAAATAACGGATTGATCCATTTAATTCTCGAACTAATATTTTGATGGTTAGGGGTCGTTCACATATTACGTAATCAGCTGAGGGGGGGGGGGGGGGTCCAAATGATTACGCTAATGTGTTTTTGACACAATAGCTATGTGTAAAACTGATTACAGAGGGGGGAGGGGAAGGGGTTGATTACGTAATATGTGAACGGTCACGGTCCCTTAATGTGCATATTTTTTCAGATGCACTGAAGAGGTTTCAAAGAAAGCAATCCCAAAGCAATATGAAAGTGTTGGAGAGATCGGAACCACCTATTCAAGGTTAGAAATCCTTATCTTGATTCTAGTCGATATTCTCTTGAAATATAAGGATATATGAATATCTTTATCCAATATTCTTGTAAAAACATATATTGAAAACAATCAGCTGAGTACATAGATCTGTTGGAGTCCTCATAGTATGATATGCAGACTCACTGTTGGAGTCCTCATAGTATGATATGCAGACTCACTGTTGGAGTCTTCATAGTATGATATGCAGACTCGAACTTGTTGGAGTCGTCATAGTATGACATGCAGACTCTGTTGGAGTCCTCATAGTATAACATGCAGGCTCACTGTTGGAGTCCTCATAGTATGATATGCAGACTCACTGTTGGAGTCTTCATAGTATGATATGCAGACTCGAACTTGTTGGAGTCGTCATAGTATGACATGCAGACTCTGTTGGAGTCTTCATAGTATAACATGCAGACTCTGTTGGAGTCCTCATAGTATGACATGCAGACTCGAACTTGTTGGAGCCCTCATAGTATGACATGCATGCTCACTGTTGGAGTACTCATAGTATGACATGCAGGCTCACTGTTGGAGTCCTCATAGTATGACATGCAGACTCTGTTGGAGTCGTCATAGTATGACATGCAGGCTCTGTTGGAGTCCTCATAGTATGACATGCAGGCTCACTGTTGGAGTCCTCATAGTATGACATGCAGGCTCACTGTTGGAGCCTTCATAGTATGATATGCAGACTCGAACTTGTTGGAGTCCTCGTAGTATTACATGCAGACTCACTGTTGGAGTCGTCATAGTATGACATGCAGACTCTGTTGGAGTCCTCATAGTATGACATGCAGACTCTGTTGGAGTCCTCATAGTATAACATGCAGACTCTGTTGGAGTTCTCATAGTATGACATGCAGACTCGAACTTGGAGTCCTCATAGTATGACATGCAGGCTCGAACTTGGGCCCTTTTGATGAGGACTCCACATAGATCTGTTGGAGTCGTCATAGTATGACATGCACGCGAAAATACACGCGAAGTTCCCAAACTAATATTGTTCTTACACTCGAATATCCGCCATGAGGTGATGCTAAGAGAAACATTGTCTGAAGATAATGGGGCTTATGCGGTAACTTTATCAAGTTATGTGCTATGACTTGAGTACACGTGCATTGGTGCACGCGTTTGAAATGAGAAGTCACTGGTCATAGCCGCATATTTCCATGGCTACCGACAAAAGTTAAACTATTGTTACAATTTTAAAAGTTAAACTATTTTTACAAACTTTAAAAAATGATACCTCATTGATCCATTAGTTTGGATCTTAATTATCATACGGTAGAATTATACACTATCATATTACTGTTAAGTATAATTTATCCGTATAACACCTATTCGGAACATGGCGGCGACTGTTTCAACTGAAAGATTCTCAAACTTGTATCATTTTAAAATCCACTGGCGCACAGTAGAAGCTTTAAACGAAGCGATGTGATTCCTCAAGATGTGTGGGTTACAAGGTCTCGAGGTATGGTTGAGACTAATGCCCAGAAATGGCAAGACAATTTTAAAAACGATTATCTTCTTGTGTTATAGTGCGGTTAACACAATTGTGTTATAATTTGCACAATTTTGCACTCTAGGATACTTAGAGTTGACAGTGTTCGTGCAGTTTAACTGACACTGGCTAAACTTATAAACGTGAGGGAATTTGTTATTCGCTTCCCGGTACGTGCAATAAATTACCACTTACGCAAGCTGAGGTGACTCTACCTCAGCTGCAATAACTGTTTGTTTGTTTGTTTGTTTGTTTGTTTATAGAACCGGTCTCCAATCTCGTATCGGAAAATGACTAAACTCAGGTCTGAGTGTGAATACGGGTGGTACCTGCAAGTGTGTTCATTAAGCGTTTAGAGTTCTGTAAAACTGCAGTTACAATTATTGTGCTAGAGTATTTTTAGTATATACGATCAATATCAGGTCTATTATATCCCTGCATGTTTCCAAAATTTGTAATCTCCAACTTTCTGCACAATGTACTGGAATGGTTTAAAAGAGGAAAAGAAAAATATATATATGTATAAAATTATTTACTCTTGTATGAAAACAATTATTTAACGCTCTTAAGTTCCTGGACTCCGGAACCTAGGAGATGATTTTGGTAATGTTTGCATTTTTATATATAAAAATTATTGTAAAATTTAAGAGTCAATTTTATTTCAACTCTATTTCATTGTTTTGAATCATGTAAAGGTAACGGAAAATCTGGATGTTTAAAGTTACTATAGTCCATGAGAGCAAAGTCTATTCTAAAAATGTTATACAATTTCTCAATTGTGTTCTCGTCAATCTTTGAAAACCACTCCTTGGCATAAAGGGTTGATTTTTGAAGGCGAGGGTCCGATGATTCATCATATGATCCTAGCAATGAGGTGCTCGCATTGATTCTACCCCAAACATCCTGACTTAAGGGTCCAGCATACTCAAGAGGGATAATATAATCGTATCTAGCTGCGGGTATACACAAAGTTCTGAATTGTTGGTGAAAATGTGGGTTACCCGATCCATTGTGGTTGACGAGCCATGAAGCAAACTCTGTAAACGTTGGATATAACTTATCAAGTGCTTCCTCGTTAGTAATGCCTCTCATCTCTTTCACAATCTTTTCCCCTATAGACCGAAACGAACCTCCCTGAGTTTTCTCATCTGATAATTTATCTCTGTAACCAGAAACCATTCTGGCCCAGGGGTTTCTGACCACGGTAAAACTGAAATCTTGTTGGAATTCTGAGGCGTTAAAGCAGTTCAATATATGTTCGGTATTCTGTGTTTGTTGCCAATTCCGCCGTGTACCTTTTTCACCTGAGTTGGACTTAGTTGGTTCTTGAGATCTCCGTTGGCGCGTAACAGGGCCTCAATCCAGTTGGAACATCCTGTCTTTGGAATTCCCGTGAAAATTGTTTTTATGTTCTCGAAATAATATGTTTGCTTTCCACAGTTTTCCCACATACTTGGTTGACTGTATTTTTGGTTCATTAAGGCCAGTGCTTTTTTAAACTGGTCTTGAGCCCATTTTTGAGAGGGTGGTTCCAAAACCGAAAGTGTTTCGTCTTCTAAAGAAGTGTGATTGACATTTTCTGAAGAAGATGCAGTCGATTCTACGTGAGAAGAATCAGAGGAAATCTTTGAAATAACAGTTTTTACATGAAGATTGGAGACGTTTTTAGCTCGGTCAGGAAGCAGGAGAACGAATACCGCTGTAAGAGCAAAAATCGCAAGGAATATGTACCGTTTTTTAACTATAACAGATTGAACATCCTCTACCATTACTGCAATTAAAAATTAAAATAATCACACAAACAATGTTCAGTAGAATATACACACAATGTTGAACTAAAATGTTAGCCGTGATTATTTGATAGATTTTAGGTAGTATTGCGTAAGATATATATATAGTATATATGCACCTCTTCCGATGGGGTGGAGATCCCCAGTCTAGACTCAGAGCCGGGAAATCACGTGGTTTGTGACGTGGTTTGTGACGTGGTTTGTGACAAGTTACTAGTTGTTGGTCATAAAGCTGGTAGAGATCTAGTGAGGATTAGAGTGGAGGTTAATGCGAGCAGACGGTCAACGAGTTGTTGAAGCATACCAGTGGAATAATTGAGTAAACACCTGAGGATCGAGTACCTTCAATTCTAGGAGGGGAGGGCAGTTAGTAGAGCCATGAACGGAACCTTATATAAGGTCCGATAGAGGGTCAGGAAGGCAGATTGAGTTTGCCCGATCCGATGGAGGGTGATTGATGCCGGACGGTTATGGAGCCTGACCTGGGAGAGAGAGAGTTGTTGGGTTGTCCTATTGAAGGAGTTCTTGTTTATCTTATCGAAGGATGGTTGGTGGTTGGAACCTCTAACTCTGGTTGAGTTCTGGTTGGCCGGGAGAGGGATCGACAGTGGAAATAGTTCATGGGTCATGGTGTATTTAAGGTAGGAGTTCAGTGTGAATATAGACAAGTATTGACGGCCAACTTTATAGTATGTCTGGATATAGTATGTGTATAGTGATTAGTGATTGTATTTCATGATGTGATATGTTATGGTAGGATAAGAGCATTAGATCGGTTTGCGTTTTTGGGCAATATAAGTCTGGTTAACTAGGAGTTAAAGCAGGAGTTTGTCGAATTATTCATTGAGTTGTTTTGTAACCATCGTTATTACTCTTGTTTTCGTTGTTCGTACCCTAAATTGCTACAAATAATCTACGAATCTGAAGCAAGTGGTGACTGCATACAAATGGCGCGAACGGTAGGATCCTATTTTATTATAGGATAGATTGTTTGTAGTTTAATTAAGGTAGGGGGAGATTACTTATTATTCAAGAGTGAATTTACAGGCGGGAGGAGTATAGTTACGTTATGTTGTAACATGAGTGTTGCCAGTCAGATTAGTGTCAGATTAGTTCAGTGCAAGAGCAGTAAATGAAGGCACGGTTAAGTGTGGAGTTTAAATGATATTTTTGGGTTTCTTTCATCATGCAAGGGAAGGAAGGTTAGGTACCGGAGGGGCACAGGTTAAGAGGGGCTGAGGGGATATTTTGAGGAATATATGTCAGTCCGTTAAGGGATTGGATCGAGAGAATGTAATGATTATGATTATGATTATTTGAGGATGTATCGAGGGGGGTACGTGAGAAATTCATGGTTAACTGTGTATTATTTTAAGATTTAAGACGGCAGACTTGACATACTTTCAGCCACCAGAGCATCAGTGGGAGTGGCTGCCTGCTGAATCGTTCTGTTGTGTGTCAGACTTGTTTTCTTTTTGTAGCGCTACGTATTTTTATATTATGGAAGATAGCGAGAGGGGGAGTTTGGAATGGGCTGGCGAAATTGTTTGTTTGGGGGCTGGCTTTTACACCAGTCAATGTTTACTCAAAATATATAATAATTGTAATAATCAATATTAATCCCCGAAGGGCACGCAAATTACATGTTATCGAACTCATAGTTATTTCGTCTAGATTTATCAGTTGAT